TGACGTCCATTTTTTATGTAATTTAACAAAAAGCGACTTCAAATTTATTCTAGTAACAATTTGGGTTCATTAACGAGAACAGAATATTAAGATCTGAGCATATTAAGTAACAAGCCTTAACTAATGTCTCCTGATTCATTTAAATAAGTAACAAAGCGAACTGATGTGACCGCCTGGGGAGGGTCCGGGGGCCGTATAGAAATGTGAATCGGGCCTGATGTGGCCCCCGAACCGCACTTTGCCCAAGGGTAGGGTAGATTGTGTGGTTGTTTTCCCATCGATCCTAAAAACAGCAGGTTAATTCAAGAACTAAAATGGGTCAAATGCACCGATCAAGCTCCCTGTGAGCCAAACACAGTCAGTCGACAATTAAGAAATCCTATAGTTCTAACCCTTGAAAAAGTTTGCAAACGATTATCAGCATCCCCCTGCTCCGTCCCCGTGTCAGTCATATTGCTCTGATTAGAACCCTCTCTTAGGTTCGGCGCAGGGAGAACAATCACGTCCCCGAAAACAAACCGCTCCATCGTGTGGGATTATGTCTCAGATTAGGATCTTTCAAGCATCCGACTGTAAAAGCCTCATAACAATCAGAGTCAGCGGCCCCTCCCCCACCCACCACCACTCCACTAATCATAATCTGGTCCTGAGGAAACATCCAACGCTAAAATATCTCTGGCATAATCCGACCCGGTGGGAACATATTGTGCCTCTCTCCCCTCTTCATCATCGCTGGACCTGAAGTTTCCATGAGGATGTGAGGATCGAGAGGAGCGAGAAAGAGGGGGGAGGAGGGGGAGGCAATCCAATGAGAGGGAGCCAAGCGTGCCAGAAGTGCGCACCGCCGCTTTGAAGTCAAACACGAGTATATGTGGAAATCAGAAGTGTTGATGAGCTGAGAGGATGAGGTCCAGGGGAGTGGGGTCTCTCTGGAGGGGTCTGGGCCTGCTCCTTGTTAGCCCGGACATGTCCTTTCCTTGATTGTTACTGATTAATTCCACCCAGCAGGGATCCGTCTGCTGTTAGAATACAGAATATATGGCGTCTATAAGTGGGCCGGTCTCCCCTCCCTGGTGAAAACACTATCTCCTTTACTGCTGCTGCATTTTATTACTATTGTTAGCTACTTTTAGAATTAAGAATTTATTTATTTTGTTTGTTTGTATGGATGTGTTTCTGCTGCTACTGGACACCTGCATTTCTCCATACGGGATCAATAAAGTATCTATCCATCTAGCTATCTCTCTCTATCTCTGTCTATCTATCTATCTATCTATATCTATCTATCTCTGTCTATCTATCTATGTATCTATCTATCTCTGTCTATCTATCTATCTCTCTCTATCTCTATCTATCTATCTATCTATCTCTATCTATCTATCTCTGTCTATCTATCTCTGTCTATCTATCTATCTCTATCTATCTATCTATCTATCTCTGTCTATCTATCTCTGTCTATCTATCTATCTCTGTCTATCTATCTATCTATCTATCTATCTCTGTCTATCTATCTATCTATCTCTGTCTATCTATCTATCTATCTATCTCGCTCTATCTATCTATCTCTGTCTATCTATCTATCTATATCTATCTATCTATCTATCTATCTATCTATCTATCTCTGTCTATCTATCTCTGTCTATCTATCTCTGTCTATCTATCTATCTATCTATCTCTATCTATCTATCTCTGTCTATCTATCTATCTCTATCTATCTATCTCTATCTATCTATCTCTGTCTATCTATCTTTGTCTATCTATCTCTGTCTATCTATCTCTGTCTATCTATCTATCTCTGTCTATCTATCTATCTATCTCTGTCTATCTATGTATCTATCTATCTATCTATCTCTGTCTATCTATCTATCTATCTATCTTTCTCTGTCCATCTATCTATCTATCTATCTATCTATCTATCTATCTATCTATCTATCTATCTATCTATCTATCTAACTATCTCTGTCTATATATCTATCTATCTATCTCTGTCTATCTATCTATCTATCTATCTATCTCTGTCTATCTATCTATCTATCTATCTTTCTCTGTCCATCTATCTATCTATGTATCTATCTATCCATCTATCTGTCTTTCTACTGTATATCTATCTACTGTATCTGTCTATCTATTTATCTCTATCTATCTACTCTATCCATCTATCTATCTATCCGTCCGTCCATCTATCTATCTACAGTATATGTTAGTTCCTGCTGCTTTACTTGTAACATTTGCTTGTCTTTTAAATCTTCTTTCACTTGATCGATTATTTTGAAACTGTGAGACAGGCTTCTTCTCTGACAATGTTCAAATCCAGGTTAAAACAGTTGTGTTTATCTGAGCTACAACTGAAGGACCGAATCCTCACTCTGTTTATTATACCGTGATCATTAATCATTATATTTGATTACATCTGCCTTGTTTTGTTCAGCACTTTGAGTTGCCTCGTGTGTGAACTGTGTTAAACAATTAAAATCAGCTTGCCTTGTTTTTCTAAAGTGTGTGTGTTTTTGTGTCGCTATTGTGCACACGGGGTATTTTAGCACAAATATTCCAACATGTTTTTGAAAGAGTGAAAGAGACCGTGCTTTGAAATGTAGTGAATGCATCGATAGAAATTTTTTAAAGTTGAAGTTGTGGCTAATTAGAGTGTGTGCTGTAGTAACGGTAATGAAGTCTGCTTGACAGGTTAAAAACTAACACTACAGTTAAAGCTGGGGAACCTCACTCTTTTCTCTCTGAAATATTGTTATTGGCTCCAACAAAAAGATGGAACAAAAGGAAACACTTTCACACAAACACAACACGCTGCGATTCCAAAAAGTTCATTCTGCAAAGACTGAAGAAAACAAGTCAGAAATGGCAAAAAATTGGCAAAGATTTATCTGATTTTGAGCAGATTCTGACTGACTTCAAACAAGATTTGCCAATGGGACAAAGCAAAATGATGCTGTTGGAAAAATATTCAAGAAATGTCTCTCTTGGAACAGATCTTGAAAAAACAGTGGGCGACAGTGGCTCAGTTGGTAGAGCATTGGCGATCTTCACGATTACCACTGATGTGTGTTGTCGTTGTGTCCTTGGGCAAGACCAGTGGGGGCAGGTCCCGGCTCAAAAGTGGCCAAAATGACGGGCGCTGACATGCTTGCTATACCACTCCGGGCCAGAGGAGTCAGACCCGGAAAGGGAATTATTCAATGCAAATGTACGTATCTTCTGACCTCTCAAAAACACCTTTACAGGATGGTCCAAAAGTTGTCTCTTGGCCCAAAGCTTTGTTCCACATGTGTGTCAATGCTGAGGGGGGTGAATATCTATGGACCAGTCTAGTTTACTTTACTTTTTGCGCATGTTTTTTTTCACATTTTCCAGCCCCCGCGGCCATTTTGAATCACTCCATGAAAGCCCAATTTTTGACCCATTAGTTATAGGCGTGACTATGTCCATTAATATACACAGTCTATGGGCAAGACACTTAACCCATAGCTGGGTTAGCTGTGCATACAACTGAGGGATTTTATATTTTTATCTTTTGTTTTAATGTTCTGTAATTATTTATGATTTTAATGCATCTTGTTCAGCACTTTGAGTTGCCTTGTGTATGAATTGTGCTATACAAATAAACTTACCTTGCCTTGCCTTGCCTTAACCCCACTTTGCCTGAAGCCCCCGCTGGAAGATCAAGGCTTCTGACTGCCACCCAACTCCCCCAGAAATGGATTAATGGGAAAAAATGCAGATGGATGGATCTAGAAATAAGACTAAATGGCTTTGTCCCATTGGAGAATCTAGTTTTGATGCAGTCGGAATGTTCTCAGATTAAGATACAAACCACTCGCTTCAAGCAATTATCACCGCAATGTTTTAATGTATTTTATTTATTTTTTTTTCAGTGTGTCTTTTTTTTCAATTCAAACTGGTCTTTCAAAAGCACCAAAACACTACACAAAATTCTGTCTTCACCGTCAGACTCATCTAATAAGAAAGAGCCCCATGAGTCACTATTGGACCCTTTGGGCTGATTTTTTTTTTTTTTTTTACTTTTCTGTCTGAAAAATCTGATCTAAAAATATGACAGGGAACAAATATGCATGTTGTTTTCATGAAACCAGTGATAGTTCTGTTTTGAGAGAAGGAACTATAGTAGATGGATTCCACGATATAGTCCCATGTTTTTGTGTTTTGAAAGAGAGTTAGGTACCCCATCTTAGGTACCCCAGCTTAGGTACCCCAGTTTAGGTACCCCATCTTTAATGACTCAAGGTTATTCTAAGCACAGTGCATCATGGATAATGAATGCAAGGGAATGAGTTTTCACGAATAACCTCAGCTCACGTTCAACTATTTTTTTCCCATCAATCTCAAAGCATCAAGAATCAAACCACATTGTGTCATAAATGTAAGGTCTGACAAGGTCTTATATGCAGCCACTTTAAGAACAGCTTCTGAGTAAATGAACACATGTAACCTATCTTAACCTTAGTAAATGAGTTATTATGATGTCTTGTCATGAACGTATCCTCCTTGTGCTTTCATGGCTGCTGCTTAAGAGTATAAGAAACAGCCTGCACAGTCACACTCTCGGCCAAAACAAATGGATGCCTCCCACGAAAATGACCAGATTTCAGCCCGACTGAATGTTTGGTTTGAGTGAAAGCTCAGCACAAGAAACGACAGCTATCACAGTGGATCAACAATAAAAGGGGTCATTAAAAAAGTGACCAGCTGCTGCTTCTTTTGCACGATTCATGTAAGAGTCTGGAAAAGCCTATTTGTGTATACGAGAGAGAATTACAGTCTATGGGGAGAATACACACGCCAAAGAAATACAATTTATTACATCAATAATACTAGTAAGATTGCATTTATACTTGTGTAGCCCTATATCTGTCTATGTACAAAATTATACTACACATACATACAATTTAATATATAGTTAATTTATATAATGGAGCCACTATGTGCAGGCTGAAAGATGCTGTAACTTTTTTTTTTTTTTTTACCTGCTGGCGACCTGTCTGTCTCCTCCATGGTCCTGCATCGGCGTGAGTGGACCAGAGCCGTGCTGCTCTGTTCTGCTTCGCTCCAGTGAAACCAGCGATGTCCAGCGAGTCTATATAGAAAATACGCGGTCTGTCTTCACGTTGTCCCCTGTGCGTGTGCGTGTGCGTGTGTTTGTGTTCTTCTTCAGCGGCGACACCAGAGCTGCGTCTGCTCTGAATCAGTGCATGATGCGCGGACAGAGCCGTGGAGCATCCTTCGCCCTGTGCGCTCTCTCTCTTCTCTTTCCCCTCTCGCTCTCTCCTCTGTCCTGTCTCAGTCTCTCCTCTCTTTCTCTCTCCTCCAATCACCTCTCTCTTCTCTCTCCTCTCCTCCTCCCTCTCACACCTCTCTCACCTCTGTCCTCTCTCTTCCCACCTCTCTCCTCTCTCTCCGCTCTCTCCCTCTCTCCTCTCTCTTCTCCCCTATCTTCTCTATCCTCTCTCTCCTCTCTCGCTCTCTCCTCTCCACTCACTCTCCTCTCTCCTCTCTCCTCTCCCCTCTGCCCTCTCTCCTCTCAGTCTGGGAGCAGAGAGAGCGTTTAGACTCGCTACTCCAGAGATCCACCTGACCCACTTCAGCTGCACTCACACCGAGACGAGTCCATTCATGCACTAGCACTTTTCACTAGCACTTGCACTGGCACTTGTACTTGTGATCACCTCCTCAAACCCCGCTCTGGTCCGTGGGGGGTCTGTCCGCCTGCAGGGGCTTCAGTGAGGGCTGGACTCCTCAGATGTAGTCCGGGTTCTGCTTGTGGCTCTTTCTCCCAGCAGATCCATGCTCTTACCACCAGCACAGATACACTTTATTGTTCATCGTCTCCACCCTCTCCGCGCTCACGTGTCCAGGGTCCTAGCGCCGCCGTGTTCCTTCCACCTACAGTCAGTGCGTCTTTTTGAGTCACGCTTTTGAACTGAAGAAGCAAGCTGCTCAGCTGTTGCATAATGCAGCAGCTTATGGCTCTGACTGAGTTGTTCATACTATGACAGTGCATTACCCAAGTGAGTTACTCTGATTCACTTTTTATACAGGAAAATACTGAAGCACTGCGTAACTTTTCTACATGGGGCTTTTGTAATATCATTGTTATTGCTATTTAAGTAACAGGAAGCCACAGACTAGGAAATGGCTTTGGCTCTCGGTGCAAACAAGGCGAAAGTAGAGAATAGAGTAAGGCATAGTAAGAATCAACATACATTTCTAAAATATAAGAATTAAGAATTTGACATATGTTACGATGTACAATATTGTCTGTATGGCACAATCAATCAACACATGTATTTCAAAACGATTGTCACAGAATATTATCTTTATTTGTTGGACTCGAAGTCCATAAAATACAAACACCACATCACAAACACAACAAACAAACAATTATAAAAGACAACTGTAGCTCTGAGCTTCCACAGAGCTTCCACAGAGCTTCCACAGAGCTGACTGGTAGCGCACAGAACTAGGGTTGACCAGAGACTGCACAAAAGAGTTCTCACTGACCTTCAGGCGGCACATAAACCTGTACATCATATTTCTCATGAGAGCATGGAAAGAGTTCACACGACTCTGACAGAACAGCAGACTAGCACCTGGACTTTTCAGCAGAATCCTAAAAGCATCATTAGGCTACTTTGAGCTTCTGTTGTGCAGCCTTCTTATATCTGCACCAGGATAGTATTAATAAGAGACAAAATTAATCACAACATCAGCAGTCCTCTTGGAAGATGTTGATTCGCCAACAACAGATCAGAGAATCAAACAGGAACACAGGAAATGCAATAAAAACAAACACACAGGAGCATAAATGTTAATTAATGTCCATAACGAGGTGACATTAAACTACAACATGTTTAAGACAGAGCTGGAAAAAAACTGCTCCTGGTTTGTTCACAGTGACAAAGAGTGTGATGCATGTTTCAAAACAGATTTATGTCTTTGCTGTAATTTCCAAGTCATTTATGGCGTCATTACAAAAGTGTGATGAATTTAATTTAGAAAAAATGTAATACCTAAGTCTGGCCTTAGCATCCGTTAGCTCCAGTCCATTATTATTTCCCTTAGTACTAAATGAAGTTAGTATATGGTATGGTAAGACCAGAACAACCATTAGTCTGGTCACTTGGTTTGATGCAGGGGCATTGTAATGTGCAGCAAGATATTTTTGTAACATAAATGATCATTTGGAGGTGAAATTCAAATTCTGTCAGACCTCTGAAGCTAAGCAGGGCAGGGCCTGGTTAATACTGCGATGGGAGACCTCTGGGAACACCAGGTGCCACATTGGGGCGGCTGCTGTTGCGTCCTTGGGCAAAACACTTCACCCACATCAGCATGCGCCTGGTGTGTGTGTGAATGGCTGATGGTTGGAGAGGCTGATGGCACATACTGATTGCCTCCTTCATGTCATAGTGCCCCAGGGCAGCTGTGACTACAGTAGTAGTTTACCACCCCTGTGTATGGAGTGAATGAAAGCGTATTTGAGTGTCCAAAGAAGTTATTAATATTACAATTATTATTATTAGAAATGTGTGTAAGGTCATACTTACACTGTATTAATTACTGTAATCCTAAATATGATCATCTACAGCAAGAAATTTTTCCCGGTGTAACTGACCTGAAACCAAAGTTGCCAGCGCTGTGCAAGACCAAGAAATATGTCAGAGAAATGTGTCCTACTTTTGTTAGGAGGAATGGAAGGAAAATTCCAACTGAAAAACTTTTGAGAATTGTTTAAAGGTTGTGGTCGGTGCAATTTGTCAAAGAGAGAATTTGTTCTTTCTGTGATAATCCTAAAACAATTCAAACGTTGTTGAATTAGCCTCAGTTCTCGCACATCCACAGACACGGTCGGTCGGTCCTTTCAGTGTGGAGTTTTCACGTTTCCCTGTGACTGGATGGTTTCCTCCGGGTCCTCCTGTTTCCCCTTCCACCAAAAACATGCAGGCGTGAACTCTTCCAAAGTCCAAAGAGCATAAAGTATTCTCTTCTTTCCTCATCTGGTCCAGTGCCAGTGGGAGCAGACCTCACACCTCCGACCACTTTGGACTTCCCTCAGTCTGTGGCCCACTTAGCACTATAGTGTGTCACCTAAACTTTCCTCTCCTCGTCTGAAGATTGACCTTGTTTCTACACCGTTCTGCAATTTGTCTTCTGGGTTTATTTTAGAACTCATTTCCCAAGTAACAACTTTCTATAAAGTCACAACAGCTGTCATTAGGGCTGTACAGTGCTCCCTCTGTAAAGCATTAGGATGTATTATAAAGAAGAAAAAACGTTTGATAGACCATTGTGGCCTATATTCAGTTTCATATATCCTATATATTGGTATATATATACCAATTAATTTTTTGTCATGAAAAAATAAAGTTGCATTTAAAACATATTATATAGTGATGTGTGATAATAATAAAACACAAGTAGTCTAATAATTGAATACTGTGTAGGTTAACAGGCACAATATATGATTACTAATTAAGGGTATATAGTCTATGGTATATAGGAGGATGTTCTACTTCCGGGTGGATCATCAAGACTATTGGTCCTCCTACTTGTCAATCATAAGACCAGAGAGTTGTTCAAAAAGTGGAGAGGGCGGTTCTTTCCTAAAATTTGGGAAAATCCTTCAAGTCATCCCCAAACCAAGGAGGAATACACAAATCGAACTACATTTCCCACAATGCCTCCGAGTGGCACTCCACGTGGTTGGTCAAAACATTGGATGACGTCAAATACATGCGCGCGTAACCTTGTGTTGCTTCTGGCCATGGGTCTGTGTTTTATGTATCTGTAGGTATTATCCACATTAAAACAGATGCTTTTAGTAACGTAAACAACAGACAGACTTGTTCTTTAGACATGAGTAAATATATTCTGCCCGTGTCTTTCTTTGGGACCGTGTTTGGCTGCGCTGTTTTACTAAAGTGAGTGATGTTCTGTAACACATTTTTCATAATATACTGTATTATAATAACGGTACTTCCTCACTTCGCATGATTCCATTGAGATATTAAGTCCAAACTATCAAGACACATATTTCCGGAGATAAATTTAAGCCCATAGAAAAATACACACAATTAAACAGATATAGATAAAGATGAAGAGATTCTTTATTCGTCCCACTGTGGGGAAATGTCAGTATTGCATTACCAGTCACAGAGCAGTAGGAATGAGGAGCACACAGCACAGGATAAATTAATTTAATTTTTTTTTTGAAGAAGCTCAAATCCATACTTTAAAATAAGTCTATCACTATACACACTCACATATAAGGTCCTCTACCTGGATACTCTAGGGATAATAAATATATACTTGTATGTAAACATCTGTACATAAATCTGTAACTTTGTGTAAGCCCTCAGTCGTACAGGGATTAGTCAAAGCAAAGGAAGGTTTCTCACCCATCATCTGTACTTCTTAGCAAGTAATCTGTAACATTATTATTAGATCTTTGGTCGCTTGTTTTCAAAGATCTTATACATTTTACAATAGCAGAAAAAAGCGAGATTGTGTATATATTAACATTAAATTTTTTAGCGCTAAAAACTGCTATCTGTTCTTTGGGTTCAAACATTCATAGTGAGGAAACTACTGTAGCAGCATCAGGTGTGGTCCAATAATCTGTATTAATGAACCCAGACATGAGATGAGGAGACATCAGAAGGTTATTGTCAGAAGGTTTGAGCAAGGTCCCAGACAGATCCCAAGTCTGGTCCATGGCCGCTCCTGCAAAAGTCTGAGAAAATCTGCCAAAGTCTGAGAAAGTCTGATTGTCACATAGAAGGTGGGCGCTTTTACAGGCCTTACACACATTGACTTTGAACGCATGACTTGGCAAAATGAACACATGGCATTGTCACAGACCAATCTCCAATGTAAACAAGTCACTATATCTATGTAATGTACGAAGGATGCCTCTGTAAGCCATTTTAGCATAGCACTCCATAGAACAGTGTCTATATCAATTAGCAAGCAATAAAATGTAGATATTCACAATAACTAACCTATTATTATTATTATTATCATCATTATTATGTGTCTTATGCTATTGCTATTTATTTATTTGTTGGCTGTCTGTTGTAACCTGGTTTCTTTCCTTCTGCAGAAACCATGTGACAGGTGGCCGATGTAAGAGTAAAGCTACAATTCACGGAAAGACAGTGGTTATTACCGGAGCTAACACCGGCATCGGCAAAGAGACAGCCCGAGAACTCGCCAAGAGAGGTGTGGAGAAGCCATGTCTAGCGGCGTGACAAATCCCGCTAATGTGATATGAGTTGGTGGACACAGCCGTTACGTAATTGGTTATTAAGCAGTCAATAAAGCACTGCCTCTCCTCCTTCTCTGTCCTCAGGAGGTCGCATTATTATGGGATGTCGAGACATGGACAAGTGCGAGGCGGCGGCGAAAGAAATCAGAGGGAAAACGCTAAATCCTCATGTTTACGCTTGCAAGCTAGATCTGGCGTCTCTGAAGTCCGTTCGGGAGTTTGCGGAACGAATTCAAAAAGGTTCAGGACCAGAATCTCCTCAGTGGCTGTAAAAAAAGTGTTTGTTCACAATCAAAACGTCATCAAAACATTTCACTTTCAGAGAAGCGCGTGGATATCTTGGTCAACAATGCAGGAGTCATGCGATGCCCTGATTGGAAGACGGAAGACGGCTTTGACATGCAGTTTGGGGTTAATCATTTAGGTAAAATACTGAGTAATACCTATGCTTATTGCTGTACTTATTGGGTACCTATCATCCATCCATCCATCCATTTGCTTCCGCTTTATCCGTTGCCAGGTCGCGGGGGCAGCAGTCTAAGTAGAGACGCACAGATTTCCCTATTCACAAGCACTTCCTGGTACTTAACATATTTCCTCATATATATTACATGTAATAATAATAATAATAATCATAATAATAATTCATCGGTGTTATATAGCGCCCAAATAGCCACCCAAAGACGCTTCACATGTCAGTATTCATTCACTCCATACTACTACCACTGTAGCCACAGCTGCCCTGGGGCACACTGACAGAAGCGAGGCAACCAGTATGTGCCATCGGCCCCTCCCACCACCACCAACCGTTCACACACACACCAGACTCATTCCAGTGTGTCATGTAGTTTATTCTCAACAGAAAGAGTCCTGAAAAAGTAAATAGTCCGTAAGAATCAGACCAAAACACGCCGTCCTCATGGTGTTTGTTTACTTGTAAGAAAGACGTCTGTGTGAGGCACTGTTGGACTTTTAGGGCTGCTCTCTGATTGGCTGAGTCGGGGCAATCGTCTCTTTTGCTCTTTACTGTTTGAGAAATCCGATCTTTCGATGTGAAAACTAGCGATAGAACCAAAGAGCTTTAGACTGAGGAACATGTTTTGTGTTTTGTCATTTCTGGACTATAAGCTGCTACATTTTTTTAGTTTTTAAAATGTTACAGCCATGAAACAGAAACCACGCATTTCTCTCTTGCAGGAGTTTAGTCCAATGAGGAAAAACCGGTGCAGGCAAAACCAATCACTCATTCCATGTTCAGGCTTGCTAGTGGATACTCGATCACAGAACCATCCTCTTCATGAAACACAAAAATATTATTATAGCATGAAATGTACAAATTTTAATACTACTTTAAACCATATTTATCTTGTTTTTAATGTCCTGTAAATTATTATTGCTGATGATTTATTATTATTGTCTCTTTTTATTGTGTTTTTATCTGATACTCATTTTATAACTACTACACAATCCTTGCGGTCTATATAGCGATGCGGATTATATGTGTGTTTTTATTGTGGTAGAGTTGTCAAAGCAGATTTTATGGACTTATTATTGACTCCATTTTGAGTTTTTGTAGCTTCAGAACACGGGTTTATTGTCAAAATAAACGAAGGTGAATGAGTCATGGAAGCTAACGGTGAAGCTGCCGTCTTTCTGATATATTACAACATGAAAACCTGCGGCTTAAATTCAGGTGCGGCTTATCCGTGGACAAAATCGATTTTTCCTTCAAATTGCAGTAAGTTACGTTTGGTTGTGATTTGAAAATTAGGTACCCCAGCTTTAACCATAGTCTCTGCACAGTTCCATTCATCTGCCATATTCTCCCTGACCCCCCCCCTCTCAGGCCACTTCTTGCTGACCAATCTTCTTTTGGGGAAGTTGAAAGAGTCCAGCCCCAGCAGAGTCGTCAACGTGACCTCGCTCGCTCACGCCGTCGGGAAGATGGACTTCGAGGATTTGAACTGGGAGCGCAAGAAGTTTGATACAAAGCAGGCGTACTGTCAGAGCAAGCTTGCCAACGTTCTGTTCACCAGAGAGCTGGCCAAGCAATTACAAGGCGAGTCTCGAGGCGACGGCGGCGGACAGAGATGGTGTGGGAGGGAGAGTTTGGATATATAACAGTGTTTCTTGGTGTTGGTGCTGCAGGCTCAGGAGTGACGGTGAATGCTGTCCACCCCGGCATCGTGGCCACCGAGCTCGGGCGCCACACGGGGCTACACCAGTCCCAGTTCTCCAGCACCGTGCTCAGTATGTGCTCTGTGTAACTACTACTGTACCACTACTAATACTACTCATACTTCTAATAATGATAATAACAATGCATCGGTTTTATATAGCGTTTTTTTGGTCACTCCAAGCTACACACGTTATTATTCATTCCCTCCATACATGATGGTGATAAACTACTGCTATAGCCACAGCTGCCCTGGGGCACACTGTCAGAAGGAGGCGACCAGTATCTGCCATCAGCCCCTCCCTCCACCACCAACCGTTCACACACACACACACACACACACACACACACACACACACCACACACACACACACACACACACACACACACACACACACACACACACACACACACACACACACACACACACACACACACACACACACACACCAGACTCATTCTAGGCAATGTTGGTGCATTGACTCACCTAAGGACACAACAACAGTTTGGCAATTTACAGCCACAGCCGCCCCACTGTGCTTCTTGTCTCATTCGTCACATTTCAAGGACAATTTTTCAATTCAAATGCCGCAATAGTTTTGAATTTTCAATATGGTCAATATGGCAGAGGGGGCAAAAGGCAAGGCAGGTTTATGTGTGTGCCACAGTTTATACACAAGGAACTCCAAGTGCTCAATAAAACAAGACAAGAAGCAAACATGCAAGACCTTAAAACTATAAATAATAATAATAATAATTAAGATGAGAAAAAAAAAAAAATTATATTGTGGGAAAACCTCCCTGAACCCTAAAAGTAGTCAAGTTTTCATGTGTTTTGAAATAGTACCATACACCATTAACTCTACAAAAGTTAATGAAAAATGTTTTGGAGCGGACCGATTAAAATAAACCAATGGGATTCGTTCATTCCCAACGAACCAATGGGATGCGTTTACCCCCTTCACCCTCCACCTGTTTCTCTCGAGTGCACCTGAGTTATTTGATTTGCTAAAACCTAAAATGGCTGAACAGAAAATGCCAATTTCACGTTTGCCGCCCACTCTCCCTGTTGTGACAAAGAAAAGAAAATGCTGGATGTTTAGTTTGGTGGAGAGGCGAGGGGAGGGGGGAGTGGTTTCCAGTTGGCGCTACGGCTAAGCTAACAACATCACTTACTGCACCTTTAATTAAAAGATCATGAATGAATAATAATAAAAAGTATTAACTCATTTACGCCATTGACGTATTTGTGTACTGGTGATTTCTGTCAAACTTGCCCGTATGCGTCTGGGGTATACAGGAGAACAAAACTAGCTAGAAACCGACATTTTTTTGCTGATGTCCAGTTTTTCACAATCATATATCACATAAGCATAGCACATAATATTCTGTGGGTCTTGAAAGTCAGTGAAATCGTCAAAAACAGCTGGCAGTCAGTGATTTAAGGTAGTCTCATGTGTAGAAACCTGGAATAAAAGAATAAGTCATGTATTTTTTCCCCATAGGTCCTTTTTTCTCTCTGTTGATTAAAAACCCGGAGCTGGGGGCACAACCCAGTGTCTTCCTGGCTGTGTCCGAGGAGATGGAGGGAGTGACTGGACGCTACTACGATGTGATGACGGAGAAGGAGCCGGCGCCTGCAGCCCTGGATGACCGAGCCGCGCAGACGTTATGGGAAGCCAGCGTCAGACTGGTGGCTCTGGGAGAGGACACACTGATGCAGCCGGAGCCAACCAGATCCACGCTCCAGCCAAGTCCAGAGGAGACCGCAGCTGCCTCGGCGTCCTCCCTGGAAGTACATTAAACCTCCATGTTCCTGATGTGCCTCTCTTGTGTGTGTGTGAGAATTTGTTATAAAAGACATTGTAACATATATATTTTTATTTAAATATCGGCACAACATTTTCAATACATTATGAATTAAACAATATATTTACCAACCAAGTATTGTTGTTCAGACACACTTCTTACAATCAATCAATCAATCCATCAATTAACAGAATTACAGAATGCAATGCGCTCCACATTGACAACATTTAAAACCAATTTTAAAACACACTCTAAAAACATATACAAAAGATTAATTACAAATAGATTAATATTTTTGTATGTATTAATAATATCATTAATCTGCTGGCATTTACTGTAACTCAATACTGGAAATGGATACAGAACTATCACAAATGGCGCCCCCTGGTTGCAAACTAGTAGAATACACTAACGCGAAAAGAGACGCAGCATCGTTCAAAGTTATAACACACTGTCACTGCAAAAAATAACAAAATATAATGTAATAAATGCCTGAATCAAGGGTTTTTATCTTAGTCTGAGTGTCATCTGTCTTTAAAAAAGATTTACCAATGAAACAGGCCTTTAAGTCTAATTTAAAGTGTTGTTGCAAATTATTTTCTAATTCCAAGGAAGATATTTCTTGAATTTTTTTGTATATTTAAAAAGCAAAAAATGTTTGCTTGTCCCAGTGGCAAATCTTGTTTTTAGACATTAAAATGTGCTGAAATTAAGATTCAAAAAACACTTGATTCAAGCTTTTAGCACCTTATTTTTTGCACTGTAACCTGTGTCATATTTCTGATGGTATTCGTCTGTGAGAGGATGTTTTTGAACCTATTTATTGGTTTTATACGGAGCAACTGAACACCAAAAAACATATACCAGAGCACTCACCACTGCAAGATCCTGCTATTTTTCACAAAAAACTGGCAATTCAAAACGATTATTTTCTGAAATAAACACTCTGGTCAAACCTCACACACACACACACTGTCTGACACCAGTACGGACCATTGCAATAGGTTCATGGACTACTTCACCAACAAGGTAATGTCAATCCGGTCTGCCCTTCCTTCCACTACCCCATTTCCAACTGACATAATCTTTCCTAAGCCGCCCAACACCTTTACCTCCTTCTTGGATATCTCCCAGTCTGAAGTGGAGAGGATCATAAGCAGCATGAAGCCCTCCACCTGTCTGCTGGATCCTCTCCCCACAACACTTCTCAAATCAAACTTTTCTGCCATTAGCCCATTAATAACAGAAATCATTAACCAGTCACTAAAATCCGGTCAGGTCCCCCCAGCTCTCAAAAATGCAGTGATCCGCCCCCACCTGAAAAAACCTTCACTTGACCCCAACATCCAAGCCCACTACAGACCAGTCTCAAACCTCCCATTCCTCTCCAAAGTCCTCGAAAAAGCAGTGGCAGCCCAACTCCACAATCACTTACGCTCCCATAACCTATATGAGAAATTTCAATCTGGTTTCCGCTCAGCCCACAGTACAGAGACAGCCTTGGTCCGCGTCATGAATGACCTACTCATGACTGCAGACCAGGGCTCACCCTCTCTCCTCCTCCTCCTCGATCTGTCAGCAGCTTTTGATACCGTGGACCACACCATTCTCCTCCATAGACTACAATCAGTAATTGGACTTTCACAGACAACACTCAAATGGTTTCATTCATATCTCACTGACAGAACAGAATATGTGTCCCTAGGCCAGTACAAATCGTCACCCCATTCAGTTACCTGTGGGGTACCGCAAGGCTCAGTCCTCGGGCCAACCCTTTTTACAATATACATGCTCCCCCTTGGTCAAATCATCAACAGACACAACATTTCTTTCCACTGCTACGCCGATGATACACAGTTATACCTGAAAATGGACTCCACTTCACCCACAGGTTTTACGTCAGCCCTTCAGCTTTGTCTGGAGGAGATAAAGGCATGGATGGACAACAATTCTCTTCAACTCAACAGTGGTAAAACTGATGCAATCCTCTTTGGCACCCCCCACCAAACCCAGTCCTTCTCTCTCAGCAGTGTTTCAATTTTTGGCCATAACATCCCCCTGTCCACATCTGTTATTAACCTTGGAGTCAGGCTCGACTCTAATTTTACATTTGATACCCACATCCGCCACCTCTGTAAAGTCTCCTTCCTTCACCTCAAAAACATTGCCAGACTCCGCTCCTCCCTCTCACAACCGGACGCTGAGAAGCTGATCCATGCCTTTGTCTCCTCCAGGTTGGATTACTGCAATGCCCTCCTCGTCGGGACCTCTGCAAAGGGTCTGCAAAAACTCCAGTACATCGAGAACTGTGCTGCCCGGGTCCTGACGAGGAGGCGCAAATATGACCACATCTCACCAGTCCTCAAATCACTCCACTGGCTGCCCATCAAACACAGAATACAGTACAAACTCTGCCTCCTCACATATCAATGCACACACGGAACTGTCCCTGCCTACCTCAGTGAACTCCTAACACCACACACCGCCTCTCGAAGTCTCCGTTCAACCACCTCCTCCCACTGCCTGCACCAACCCAGGACCAAACTCTCCACCATGGGAGATAGGGCCTTTCAGGCAGTAGCCCCCCGGCTCTGGAATGCCCTCCCAGAAACCCTCAGGGCCCCACAAAGTGTGGAGGCTTTTAAGAAAGGCCTAAAGACATTTCTATTCAAACAGGCCTTCTAGATATGTACAGTAATTATGTTTTTATTTTTTCCTGATGTTATATTTGATGTATTGTTTTTATGTTGTGTATCTTGGGGATGTTCCCTGTTTTTGTAGCACTCTGAGGTTTCCCTGAAATGTAAAGTGCATTATAAATAAAATGTATTATTATTATTATTAACTGTGATCCACAAGAGCATAACCACACGCAGTTTAACAACAACAGCATTAAAACATTTACACTTAGATCTGGTCGTTTGAATAAGTTCGTGCAGACTGGTGTAAATTGCTGCTGGTTTTATTCCCTGTAATGCACACTTCCACTGCACTTGGCTTATTGAGTTATAAAGCACTCATGTCGCATTTCTGTTCTTCTCAGCAGCTATTCCGAAAGAAGCCTATAGTGGTTCTGGCTGCATTCTTTATTTTTGTTTTTTCTCTCTAGACTTTTCTACACGGTCATATCTTTGCACTTCTGGTTTTGGATTACTTTCATTTTAATGAGATTGAGAGCCAGTAACCCCCCCAGGCACAGATCAATGAACCCTAATGCAGACTGTCTGGCCCCCATCCTGAAACTCTATCCTCCAAACGTTCAATCACGCCCGGTTTAAGAAGAGGAGCCTCTCACTGGAGCACGGGCACAAGCTCCCGTTATTAAACTACTCAAATCTGCAATCAACACGATGCATGTTGGATTATTGATGCCAAAATGTCTCCTGAAGCCATTGGTACAAACACAGAAAACAAATGTGATGTGCGGTAGTTTTTGTTAATTTTTTTCCCACTTTATTTTGAATAGTAAAATGGTACAGGTCTTTCAGTATATAATAAAACTAGACTATATTTTACCACAGAAGGATAACAGACGGACATAAAAACATTGTGTGGGTGGACGGGGGGTAGGATTGTTATGAAAGAAATCAAAATTTCTACAATGAATACAGTACAACAATAACAAAGAAAAAACAGGATGGATTCAAATGGAGAATGTTTCGAAAAGTGTGTGACTGTTTTAATTTCTTGTGGGTGATTTTAAGAAGTGTTTTGTTTATAAAGATTCATTTAGTTTTGTAATATGTTGAAGAGAGGTTTTCTATAAAGATTTTTTGGATTTGTGTATTTGGAATTTGCCCAAAATGATTAAGTAAACCGTATTTGGTGTTGTATTGTTAAGAAACCAAGGAGCACATTTTGATAACGGAAAGTGATGTTGGGGATGAATATTATGGTGAACTGTTTCTAGAATGTGGCAGTGGGGGCCCCGGGGACATATCCAGGAGAGGTCAGAGACTAGTTTCAGTTTCGGTCCCACAGAAAGAGCATGTTGTGTCCATTAGTCCTGCTGGAATGACATTTGACAGAGCAACAGCGATGAATGACTTTATATTATTATTATAGATCCATGGTTGATGTGCAGTAGTTGACCGAGTGACTTGCGCTCTTGAACATACCCCACTCTTACTCCAGACTACATTTCCCACAATGCCACAGTGCAATGCGTCTCAGAAGCCATCGTCCGGAGTCCAAAACTGTCTTTCGGGGAGAAAAGTGGCCCTTCGGTGAAAACACTTCGGTAAGAACACAGTTGTGCAGTGTAAAAGTCGTTTAGAATAATCGATCATCAGAGAGGGTCATGTGTTCGAGTCCCAGAACTACAACAGTCCGGTGCGCACCATGACACAGTGGAAGAAAAGTCTAAACTCTTGCTTTTAAGTAATGTTTAACAACTTTTATGAAAGAGCAGGACATGCAGCCACTGACCTGTCGTTGTCACTGATTGTACACATAACAAATATTGCATGTTGTATTAGTTTAGTTTTTTAAAATATATGTTTAGTGAGTTAAGTTCTAATGTAGATGCCCCCTGCACAATGGGTAAATGTAAATGTATTTGTATCATTGGGAGTTTCTGGTTAATGAAGGTTAATGAAACTCTGGAAGAACAAAAAAAACACTCGTTGGACATGAGACACTTTATCTGTATCTCTGTAATCAAAAGAACGATACAATACTTAAAATGCAGGATGAAGCCACTGGAATCAGATCTATTCAGCTAAAATCTGAAAAAATAATACAAATAAAACAGTTTAATTTAGCTGTGCATACAACTGAGGGATTGTATCTTTTACTATTTATAATGGACTGTGATTATACATGATTTTGTTGCCTGTCTTGTAATGTTTAGCACTTTGAGTTGCCTTGTGATTGAGCAGTGATTTCCAAACGCACTTGCCTTGGAATTAAAACAATGTATCTTTGTCATTATGAAGGAGAAAACATGGCCACGGAGCTCCCACCTGAAGACATGGGCTCTGACGACTGCCTGAGCTCATACACACACATCTACAGCCCGGATCTGCTCAAGTGAGTGACGCCCGATATTATTATAGATCCACACACACATACACACACATACACACACATACACACACATACACACACATACACACATAATGGACGAACTGTGCTTTCCCAGGGACCAAGTGGCTTTCATTACCGGTGGTGGATCTGGAATCGGACTCAGAATCGCTGAAATATTCATGAGGTGTGGACATGATAATACTTTGGTGCACATGGAGTGATGTAATTCAGTAAATGAAACACCAGAAAATGTCATATGGTTATAGTGCAACTTGTACTTTAGACTTTGTTATCTTGTCTAATATCGTTTTGTGAGATACCTCCATCTTTACTCCCACTGGACACTGTTTTCTTTGCGTTTGCTCAAGTGTTAAAGTTGCATATTGGTATGAACTTACAATCCCTCGCTGATCACGGCTCAATAGTTTTATTTATGCTTGGAAATGATACAAATTTATCACATCACAATTCATTCCCAGTGACTTTCCATATATTACCACTTAACCCTTTTTTTAATGGATTCCTCCATTTATCTACTTTAAGCTTGAAACTGAAATCTACCTGTTGGGGCTTCGTCTCTCTCTCTGGTCTCTCTTTCTGGTCTCTCTGGTCTCTCCCTCTTGCATCTTTCTGGTATCTCTCTTTGGCTGTCACTGGTCTCTCCCTATGGTCGCTCTCTCACTGGTCTCTCTCTGGTCTCTCTCTGGCTGTCACTGGTCTCTCCCTCTGGTCTCTCTTTCTGGTCTCTCCCTCTTGCATCTCTCTGGCTGTCACTGGTCTTCCTCTGGTCTCTCTCTGTCCTCTCCATTTGGTCTTTCTCTCTGGTCTCTCTCTCTGGTCTTCCTCTGGTCTCTCTCTGACTGTCACTGGTCTCTCTCTGTCCTCTCCATTTGGTCTTTCTCTCTGGTCTCTCTCTTTGGCTGTCACTGGTCTCTCTCTCTGGTCTCTCTCTGGTTTCTCTCTCTTTGGTCTCTCACTCTCTGGTCTTTCCCTGCGTCGTTTATAAAAATAAGGGTTCAAAGAAGAAAAAGAAAAAACGAATAACCTAATACAGTGTGTTATTAGCGTCCTTAGAAAACTAAAAAATACATTGCTTTCTTCAAAAAGTGACTATCAAAGGGTTGATACACTGTTGCGTTTCTTTCAGACACGGCTGTGACACAGTTATTGCGAGCCGGAATCTGGACAAACTAAAAGAGGTTGTGTTATCAAAAACATATTGTATGTATAAATACATTGTGTAGTAAGTGATTCTGTAATGTGTGTGTTCTTCTACAGGCTGGTCATAAACTGACCACTGCCACTGGACGACGGTGCCTCCCTCTGGCTCTGGATGTGAGGAAACCCGAGAGCATCACGGCTGCTGTGGACCAGACCCTGCAGGAGTTTGGCCGAATAGATGTCCTCATTAACAGTGTGTTACTTTTATTTATGACACGGCTCCTCACAGCAGCAACAGAACGCTCCATTGATTTAAATGTAATTTCAAAATGTTTTACCGGTCATTTTGATTGATAACCGACCTCTCAAAACAATAATGACCGCTGCCCTTTGGCAACACACCCACTGCTTGTAATTCAGATGTGTAGATTACTCCGTAAGTAGTTCCGGCCACTCTGTTGATACTACTGTCTGAGAGAAGCTATCGGAGCTAGCCACGCTCATTAAACGCAAATACCACTCAATAACCCTCTTAAATGTTAATGGGAGAATACATTATACATATACATTCTTAATACACATGCACAGAGGTTTTCAGAAGTATCTGGTAACATTTTCATGACAAAAATACAATTTTAATGCGAGAAAAAGCGATCGCGACAAACCCGGAAGTAGATTCCGGGACATTTTAAGACACATTTGCAGAGGATCGAATCAATTATGTTTGGGTCACTCACCGCTGATGATCAGAATTCTTTGTTCAGTTTTCATGCAGTTCAAGAGAGTTCTAGTTTGGAAGTTGCTAACCTAACTGTTACTAGCCTAAACGTTACTAGCCTTACTGTTACTAGCATAGCCATGGGAAAGCCTTTGGGAACTATTTTATTTGCAGTCATTAAATAATCTTTTCGGGCATTCCTCAACGTGGACTGAAGTTTATTTTGTGTGTTCTGTTGGTACAAAGCCGTATAGTAGGCAGGTCATTATCAGAAGTACCTTCGCCCTGTCAGTACTTATTTTCCGATAATAACCTGCGTAGTGCGTACTATACATTATCATTACATACGACATTATTACAAACCCTTTGACACTTAAAGCAGATGTTTTTTTCAGATGCTGCAGGGAACTTCCTCTGTCCTGCATCATCGCTGTCCTTCAACGCCTTCAAGACCGTGCTGGAGATTGACACCATGGGCACCTTTAATACCAGCAAAGTGGTCTATGAAAAGTGGTTCAAGGTATTTTAAACTTGACAATTCGTAGTTGTGAAAAAGTAACTTATGAGGACAACACAACCAAACTTAGTACTTCCTGAGACACTGAGATATAAAACCATAACCGAAGAAGAGTGTTTCAGCAATAAAGGTCTTGGGTTCTAATCTCTGTTAGAGAGGGTCTTTCTGAGTGGAGTTTGCATGTTCTCCCCGTGTCTGCATAGGTTTCCTCTGGTTTCAGCTTCCACTAAAAACTTGTCTTATCGGTAAAATCCTCCAGCTCTGTTAGAACTGACCAACATTGCTGCACTACGCCGACCACTCCTCCTGTTTAGACGCCCTAGTGCAGGCAGGTCAAACTCCGGCTCCTGGGCCAAATCCGGTCCGTAAAACAATTTTCAGAGGCCCGTAAAATGATTTTCAATTATTATTTTATGGTAATGGGCTGCCAAGGCATGTTTTCCATCTGCCATTTTCTCAGGAAAACCACCAACTAAAATGTTAACCCAACACATCATTTGAAGTTAAATATAAAACAATGTATAACTTTAAATTTGATCTAGTTTTGGTTAAATCTAAATAACTCATTTTGTTTTCAGAAAAATCAACCGGAACATAATAATGAAACTCACGTTGAATTAAAGTAATAGTCAAAATACCTCCATAATGTAAAAAACAATTATAAGAAAAGGAAATCCCTTCTAGTCTTTTGGCCCTCGACCACTTTTTTACTCATTCATTCATTCATTCATTCATTCATTTTCATCCTATTTATTAGTCAATTTCTGGGTCGGGGGGTGGTGGCAATGAGAGCTGCCACCCAATGCTCATAGCACCAGTCCCTCTGATCCTCTGCAGGTGGTGGGTCCAGGGGAAGATGGCTGCTCCGTCAGCGATGACCAGTGATGGGAATAACTTTTACTCAGTTACTTTTTTCAGTAACGAGTAATCTAACTAATTACTTTGACAGTAACTATAACGCCGTTATCATTTCCGACATCCCGTTACTGCGCGTTACTCAAGACGCACAATGAACGTGTTGTCATGAGAGAAGGGAGGATGAGAAAACCTCTCAGCAATTATTGGCTGATGTAAATCATATTTCCTTTACAATCTACATGTCTACAGTTGAGAGGATGGCTCATAAATTGTGTTTTTGAAACAAATATGGGTCTTAATCGCGCTCAACCACGGCTTGTATCACCGTGAGGTCAGCCACAGAGGAGCTCATGTGAGCGCAGAAGTCGGCTGCATACACTTCCATCGATAAGCTCCTTGCTCTTCCTGGTTTATCTGCTAAGGACAGCAACAGGTTTGGCTAACATACATATAACACATTTTTACATAATCTAAAATGCACATAGGGTAATTTTTCAATGACTATAGGAATGATAAGAAAGAGAGGTGAAGTGTAAGACGGTTGATTTTAGAAATTGGATGCACTCGGCTGCAGCAAAACAGAGGAGTTTACGGAGGACACACGCGTTTTGTTTTACTTTTTAAAACTCATTGGACTCATTTCCAAATGGAGGATTACATATCTACACTCAAACCATTCACTGGATTTAAGCAAGGAACTGGTCTAAACCGAAGTGGACTGTGCAGGTCATTTATAAGGTATAGCTATAAGGTAAGACCCATAACTCATAGTTTTGCGTTTTGTATGAACAAACAATGCGGGCATAAAACATATTTTGCTGTAGCCAAACAAATTGTCCACTTGATTTATATGATGTATATGTTCATCTGATTGGACTGAAGTCAGTGCTTCACCAGCCTCACCGCTCGTCACCGGTGTTTCCACATTCACAGTGGCGGGCTTTACAGCACAGTGAGAGATGAAGAGTGAACAGGACTTCAGCAGCAAAACAGACTTTTCTAGATGGAAATATTGGCACTGTTAAAGGTAAAAATGCGCACGTCGGGTGCACATTATGTTCCAGAACAAAACGAAAAAGTAAAGCAATAGTTACTTTTACTGGTAACTAGTTACTTTTATAGTGGAGTAACTCCGTTAGTAACTCAGTTACTTTTTGGGAGAAGTAACTAGTAACTATAACTAATTACTTTTTCAAAGTAACGTGCCCAACACTGGCGATGACACAGCCTTGGTCTTTCAGCAGGGGCTTCAGGCAATGTCGGGTTAAGTGTCTTGCCCAAGGACACAACGACGGTAGTCATTTGTGGGAGCAGTTGGAGTAGGTCCCATGGTGGGCTCGAAACCACGACCTTCAGGCCTAAACGCCAACGCTCTGCCAACTGAGTTACTGTCGCCCCCACTTTTTTACCCCTTTAATAATGAAATAGTAATTAATAATAAAATAGTGTCTTTCAAAATACCCAAGGACAAGGTACAAACATGGTTAAAATAAATTAATAAAAAAAAAACCTTCCCCAGTGGCATCAGGAGGGGTCAAATGCAGGGCTGACAAACTGGTTCCAGAAAAGCCCGGCTGTAGGTGGCTGCAGGTTTTTAGTTCCAACCCGAGCAGGAGAATGCCCACCGGGGATGGATAAAGTGCATCTTTGTATCATTTCCAGGATCATGGAGGTAACATTGTGAACATTTCTGCGACTCTTGGCTACAGAGGACAGGCCCTGCAGGTGCACGCCGGCTCCGCCAAAGCTGCAAATGGTAATGATGCTTTTGTTATTGTCTTTTTACATTCAAACTATTCTCAACTGTTTTTCTAAAAGACTTACTTTGAACAGATGCAATGACCAAACATCTGGCGGTGGAGTGGGGTCCCAGTGGAGTCAGAGTGAACACTGTGGCCCCTGGTCCTATCTCTGGGACCGAGGGCTTCCGCAGACTTGGTAAACCGAAAGTGCACAGAAACATTCAGCTCAAAGACAGATTATAGCTACACAGATAGTTCCATCTGCAGTCCCTGGTTACATGAAACAATACAATAACCATACAATACAATACAGTAACAAAACCTCACACTTTTGCAGTTTTTTTCATAGTTTGGCCGGGGGTGCGACTTATGAATGAAACTAGTACATTTTATATTTTTAAAGTTATATTTTATTTACCGTAAAATATCAAATAAATGCTAAAGTTATTTGAGTGACTCACACCGCAATATGTTACGTTGAAAAACCATTTTGTTTATGCGTCATAAAACCTACACATATTCAGCCTGTTCTCTATTCTATTTTTATTTTAATTCGCCTTTCAAGATAAAATGTCTGTTCTTGGTGTTGGTTTTTATCAAATCAATTTTCCCCCAAAAATGCGACTTATGCTGTAGTGCGACCTATACATGTTTTTTTTTTACTTCTTTATCATGCGTTTTCGGCTGGTGCAATTTATAATCTGAAGCAAATCTGAAAAATACCTTACCGTAAAATCAATCCAAACATTTCAGACTACAGTCCACAGTAACACATTAACATATATTCACATAAACATTTAACTGTGACTTATACAGTTAGTGATCTTTGTTGTTTCAGGTGGACCGAGAGGGGAATCTGCCGGTGCTTTCCAGTCTATTCCTCTTCAGCGAGCGGGCAACAAGACGGAGATGGCCCACTGCAGCCTGTTCCTGGCCAGTCGAGCTTCTTCTTACGTGACCGGAGCCATTCTGGTGGCAGACGGCGGCGCGTGGCTAACTTCAGCCAATGACTTTGCTATGCTCCTGGGTATGGCCTCTCAATCCGCTAAACTTTGAATATAGATTAAGATTTCATATATAGCATCAGTTCTATAACAAATGTATATAACTGTAAAGACTGTGAAATGGTTACAATGTGACTGTTATGATTGGTTACAATAAAGAGTAATTTATCAATTCATAGTAATCTTTTATTTCTTTATTTTCTTTCAGGTGTTTGGTCATCTGAAAAAGAACAAAGACCAGTGAAATCTGAGAGCAAATAGTTGACCACTTATTAGATCACTGTGTATGTACTGCAGTGTTTTACTGAGGCTCTAACACAGACATTCTCTGACAACACTAAACACACTACCTGGAAAGTAACATGTATGATATTGCTATGAAATACTAATATTACACTGATTACTATTAATTTACTTCATACTTTTTACAACCTTTTGGAATCTGAAAGCTGTTTTTAATAAACAATTTAATCATGCCTGGTTCTGTTTCGTTAATGTGCAGACTGCATTCAAGCGTTACTGCTTTTGGTCAACAGGGGGCGCTAACAGGCTAACCATGGTGTTACTGGCCCTTATGCTTCTCACAGTAGTGGATTATTTCCAGATTAATCAATATTAGGCTCGCATTTACTTAGAAGTCAACTGTAAGGCAAGGCAGGTTTATTTGTATAGCACAGTTTATACAAAATACAAGATAGAGACAATCAGACAAGGCATTAAACACATACACAACCACAGTACATTGATGATTAATCACAGTGGGGAAATTTCAGTGTTGCATAACCAGGTATTTCATCTTTTTAACACACCTTGTCTTTTATCATTGTAACTCTTTGTGTGTTTTTAATGGTTTTTACTTATTTGTATGATTTTAATGTGTTAATGTTTTTAATTACCTGTGTGTTTTTAATAGTATTTTTGGTGATGATTTGTGCCTTGTGTGGTTTGGACTGTGAGGCGCTTTGTGTTGTCCTGTGCAGGAAAAGCGCTCTATAAATAAAGATTGATTCATTGATACAGAACAGTAAGAATGAGGAGCACAAGGCACGAGATAAATGAACAATAACTAGAATAAAAATGTTATCATAAAAAAGAAGCAAGTATAAATTCTCTAAATTTAGCACGTTAAATACGTAAGAATTAAGTATAAATTGATGCATAGATGAATTTATACCAGGCCAGTTCTCTTTTTCCAATGTGAAATTGTCAAGAGTTTGTCTAGTTCTGTTTGGCCATTCACGTGTGCATGGTTAGATATGCATATCAAACACATAACATTTGCCTAATTCCTCGGTGATACCCACAGACTGTAAATATTCGAGCGATACCATGTACGATACCGTGGGCGATACCATAAAGTCAGGCCCGTCCTAAGGGCTGTGCGACCTGTGCCGTCGCACAGGGCCTCGCACCACACAGGGGCCTCGCAATCTTCCTTCCTTTTATTTTATTTTATAAATACACTAGTTCAAGGGTCCCCAAAGGGCAGACTGCACTCCAAATTTGGAACCCTAAACCCCTTTCTCTGGACCTCTTTGATTTCGTTTGATCAAAAGAACATTTTTACAAGTAAAGTCAAATTTTCACCAAAAGCGATTTGTAAACAGGCAGGCGCGCGGGCAGCTATGTATGCAACGGGTCCTCCGAAAAAACTGTCAGATAACTTTAGCAGTGTCTGAGTGAGATACAAAGAAAGTAACGGGAATGATCGCAGTGTAGGAGAGATGGATACTCGCGGAGGAGGAGCAGAGAGACAGGTGTGAGCAGAGGAGCAGACCCCTTTGTGTGAGCAGAGGAGGAGGAAGAGGATCAGCGGTGTGACAGGTGTGTGAGCGCTGCTATTGCCAATGTTTAGTCCGAATATCCACATCAAAAACATATTTTTAAAAGCATTAGCAAACACACTGTATGTCTAGCTTTAGCTAGCTGGAGTGTTTTTGTTGTGGTCAGAGTGTGTGGAGGAGGAGGTGAAGAGTATTTTGTTGTTGTCAGTGTGGAGGAGGAGGAGTGTATGTTGTCAGAGTGTGTGGAGGCATGGCAAAAACGTTATTTGATGAGAAAATAATAATATTGACTCCGCCTCATAGCCATTTTGGCGCATTTTGCCCAAATCTAACTATTAGAAGAAAAAGACTCCTTTTGGTTCAATCTTTTGAGTTGCTCTACCATTTTGCCACAGGACGAAAGAGACATGTCAGCTAAAAAGACCGCGACCAATATTGCACGTAGAGTGTGTGTGCGTGTGTACGTGCGCGCGCCAAACGCTGCATAGGAGCGAAGACACTCGGTTACACGCGTGCTGATCTCGTCAAGCACCGCGCGAGGTGGTGCTGAATTCATGTCAAAGATTATAACAGGAAAAACTTTCCTCAGATCTGGGAAAAAAGTGTCAGGGCAGGGCCTCGCGTTTCGAGTTCGCACAGGGCCTCGCACCCCCCTTGGGACGGGCCTGCATAAAGTGATACTCATTGATACTGCGGGAGGCTCAGTGCGCATGCGCGGGACGTCAGCGTGTGTCCGCAGCTGAGGAGGAGGAGGAGAGGGCTCTGCTGATGCTGATGCGAGAGCTTTCGGCGTCACAGATCAACATCGCACAGCACCCGAGAGACGCGCAGTGAACCAGGACGTCTTCATTCCTTGTCTTTTTCTCTCCACATGCTCGTCTCTCCTCGGTGGACTTAGAGGACAGCGGACGTGCCGTGGAGACTCCGATGCCCGCCGAGAGTGGATGAAGACCCCGGCGGTCGTCTCTGTGGCCTATCTCCCCGAGACACAGGTGGATCGGGAAACGACGTCGTAAATCGCTTATACACTGGGAGCTACGATTGAAACGCGGATTGGATGGAAGTATCTGTGTTAAACTACGTCTGAGCCAAACATTAAGCATTGGGAGTGTTTGGGGGTGAACGCTGCTGGGTGAGTTAGCTATTAGGCTAATTTGGCTAGCTCGTCACCCCAATGGCAAACAAGCAACCAAGGATACATGTTAATTCATTACCTTTACGCTTATCTTCCGCACGAGGACCCTACGCTTCTGTTTCCGGGTGTGTATAGGTTTAGTCTGAGGGGTTGACAGACGCGTAGGCACACGTAGAAATTAGCCGTAGATTGATCCTGGACAATATTATGGTTAGAATATGTTTATGTAGCATGGATCTATAATATTATCGGTATGCAGCCCAAACCCGTCACATTACTCGTGATTAATTTGGCTGTTGCTGTGGTCCAGTTTATGTTAAAATTAGACTGGTGACTTTCACATCGAGGGCTGTGAATGAGTATGAGTCACAGTGACAGGATTCTACATATTTAACATTGCCAATTTATTATGAAGACTGTGTACATTCATGCAAGGGAACATGATTAGTCATTAACCTGATTCTGAAGATCTCAAAATCATTATAAATATGGATTTTCTCAAAACATGTTTGCCAAGTGTTTAGAGTAGACTATTTTCTGGTGCACATCAGCCAGTTCTAATGCAAATATGTCCTTGCCACTGAAATGCTGGCTTTTGACTGCTGTGAGATAAACATTAAATTGACAGCTTCGTGCGTATTACCAGAAGACATTTCCAGCCTAAATGGAACCGGCACTCCTGTCTAGCCCTTTGGGGCACACGCAGTGGGAGACAGAACAGCCATTTCCTCTGGGATTTGACTCTCTGGACTCAAACAATGCGGCTGTGCTGTGTCAAAACAAGAGTGGTCAGACAGGTTTGGGCATCAGCAGTTGCGACCATGATCAGCCATTCAACACATTCAATGAAGAAGACCCATTTAAAAACAAAGTGCCTCATTTGGACTCTTTACTAGATATTGCAGAATTTTCTTGTGGAGGTTTTACGTTTGAGAATGATCATAAAACTAAATCCACGGATTTCCCCCAAAGATCAGAGGAACAGGGTTTCTCAGAAAACGGAGTGCAATCAAAAGAGCTCAGTGACTCCACCTTGTCGTGGCTGTTTTCCCCAGCCGTCTTTGAAGTCTCTGGGAAAGATGCTCCTTTTGACCAATCACACCAGCCTCACGAGCCCAATGATGAAACCTCGCAAACGTCTGGGTCTAATCCACAGACTGTGAATGTGCCATCCTCTCCAACAAACAACATAAACATTTGCAAAAGTCCTGTTTTGTTGCTAGATTTATTTTCAGATGAACACTTGCCTCTTTGTACCAAGAGTGTCACAGAGGAGGCCACCAGACTATCTCTCCCACAAGACACTGTGTCACCTGACATTGGAGACAAAGGTTTATACCCAGATCAAGTGACTGATCGGCCAGTCACCAGTACCTCCACATCAACACAGAGTTTACCTGAGAACTGCCTTCCACTCGACCACACAAGCCCACCGGAGGACTGCTTGGAACAATCCGTGCCTTTGTTGGATATAGAGGTTCCCTTCTGTAACAACAGCTTGTGTCCTGCCAGTCCCGTCTCTTTTTCACTCGTATCAGAAAATCAAACGGGACCCACTGTAACTGCAAACCCAGGTGACGTGTCCGACCTGGAGCGACTTGTGGAAAGTTCACCGGATGGAGCTAAGGATGACGCAAAACTGGACAACACGGACCAAAATGAAGATATAGACGAGAAATTAAAATGTGAACTAAACTATCAGGACTCCATAACGGTTCTAGAAACGTGTCCAGCTACTGTGGAGATCCAGAAAGAGGAGCACCTTGACACTTTACTAACCAACACTTTGACTAATGAACAATCACCAGGACCCAATGAAGATCTGAACCACCTAGAAGCCTCGGACGTTTTGGATTTTTCTGGGGGGGCAGAATGGACTAAAGAAACATTGTGCATGGGAAAGATGGTGGGAGACGACTCGGTTCCCTTGGTCCCCGCTGCTAACGCTAGCGAAGAAGACGTCTCCCCTTTGAAAGCAGTTTTCGATGCTTTAGACCAGGACGGAGATGGCTTCGTTCGAATCGAGGAGTTTATGGAGTTCGCAGCAGCGTATGGGGCAGATCAGGTGAGAGCAAGTTTTCTTCTTTCATTTTTTTCTGGAGTTGGTTGGCAGAGTGTGTAGAGCGCTCTTTATGCAGAACTAAGCGATTTATTATTGATTTTGTGCAGGCCTTCAGTGTGCTTCCTGCTAAAAGCTTTGGTAATGGCATTAGAGGAAACCCTAGCTCGTATGGTAGTAAAGTAAAGTCGTTCAGAATCAGATGGTGTCATTACGTTTAGTTTTTTCTTTAGCAATTTAAACATGATGCAGAGGATATCGGTAAACTAGGTCACCTTAGCTGTTAGCTTATTTCTTCTGTTTATTCTTCAATTCAATTTTCTACATCCAATACAAGTGATTTGGGAAGTAGTGGTGATTTGAATACAAGCAGTTTTTAGACTATTAAAGGCCCATTGACTGAAAGATAATAATAGTAATCTTCTTTGTTTAGCCCTTTTCAAAAACATTGTTTAGTCAGCATACAACGATATTCATTGCATACAACATAACAAGGAATAAATACAGGAAAACCCACATCTAGAAAGACAAAACGAGTAAAAAGCAACGTGCGACAGACAGTTAATTTTAAGTGATTTGAAGGTATTGGTCTTAGAATGGGTTTTATTACAGATGGGAAATTACATGATCCGAGTGGAGTAATTGACTTGGTCCATTAAGAGCCATCTGTTGCCTTGTTCTTTTTAACACTGTTAATGCCATACTGGATTAGAGTTTCATCCACATTTGGTTTGGTGTTGGGTAAAGCTAGGATTAATGTCTCCAGCATATTGGCTTTAATGGGTTCAATGTGGCCTGGCGTCGTTTCCATGTGACAGATACTCGCAAACCTTCATATTCTCATTTGCATATATCCTCTTGGTGTAGGGATAATCTCTTTGGGTGTATATTCTGCTCCAATACACTGAGCTTTCTCCAGCTGTCCCCATTCTAAAAACCTGCAAAATATAAGCACTCCTCATACTGGGCAGTGAGTCACAAATGTTGACTTCATAATAATCTACTTGTGTGAATAAATTAAACTGAATCTTGTAATGTGTACGCTAGTCATGTGCTCGCAGTTTGGTGTCAAATTTCTTTCCTGTGAGACCTGCCTCTCGAAATGTTTACCTGAAAAACACGGCTCCGGCAAATGTCGCAGCATTCGCAAATAATGACGTAATGACGGTTGCCTCATGCTTCTATGGAGTGGGAATTGTTTTTGACTGAACAAACGGACACATTTTCCAATTCAATTCCATGTGTTTTTGTATAGCCCAATATCGCAGCAGTAGTTTTCTCTGAGGACTTTACGCAGCTGTCGATTCGCCAACACAGATCAGAGAATCAAACAGTTCAAACACAGGAAGTTCAATGATTAAAAAACACATAGAGCCATTGGTCCATAAAAGGTGGATGACCAATACCCATAAATGAATTACTGAATGTCGAGTGTCTTGTGTTTGTTGTGTAGTTACCATCCTTATCATTGAAATTAGTCACTAAATAATCAGTTTTTCTCTTTTATTGACGAAATAAGTCTAGTCGGCTAGTCCACTAACACACATTAACATCCTTTTGCTAACCCATGCATTGGTTTGGGGGCGGTCCTGTGTCCAGCTTTAGGCATCTGTGGATCCCCAGGCAGAGAATTGTAAAGGATTAAGAGTAAAATGTGTTTCCCTGACTCAGATGAACTTCATAGTTTGACTACTGTCCCAGACCTTTTTGGGAGGGACTCTTGTCGAAACTATTTTGGCACCTCACACAAGTTCATAGGTGTGTCTGTTTTTCAGTTTCTTGTTTATACTCCATGCCTCGTGTAGTCCTGTGAAGTTATTGTTTACATTCAGACTCCGGAGTGATTATTGCTCGGACTAATACAGCTCTAGTCACTTCGTCTCGCTCTTTACAGGAAACTAGTCTCACATTTCTGTCCTTACGGGATCTATCCGTCACAAAACACCTGCTATCCTTGTCATCTTCTGTTGAATATCTTTCACACACACATTATTGTATCTGCTTCAGCCTTCATCTCGTCTAAAAACCCCAGCAGCTAATAGACAGCTTTATCTCCTGGAATTTGAGGAATCTGTTTAATCTAAGCGATTCTTCACAAATATGTCTTGACACATTCACAGGCTGTATTTTTAGGGAGTATGCAGTAATCTATTGGCAACCATAAGTGCTTTTGCATCTGTTCCTATAAATATATAAACAATACGGTTTTATTGGGCAACAAAATTCTCTATCTTTATCATTTGCTTATCTTTGCCCATCTGTAATGTTGTGGATTCAAAAATGTTGCTTTTTGTTTGAACTTGCGTTTGTGGAAAAATTAGCCTGAACATGTCATACGCTACTTTGACTGCTTGCTACAATTACTCTCCACCACAGTGATTTTGGCGCAGCGCAGAGGAAATTCAAAGAGCATAGCAGTTATATATTACCATTGAGCTAAGATACACATGACAGGACAGTTTTTCCTTTTCTTCGCCGATGCAAGAGGGTCAAAGGACGGTGGTTATGATCCATGTCCACTCAACATTTATCAAACATTTATGGACATTGTTTTTCTATCATTTCCTTTTATTGTGTCTGAACTGTTTGGTAGCTGATTATCCATAGCCATATTTGAACTTTTGATTGAATATATTATGAGGCTGCAGTCTTTTCTATCTCACACTGGAGGTAGATTTACTCCAGGCGTCACCTCAAATACCTCCACAGCCTGTCGCACAAAGCAGGTTGGAATCCACTAGGTATTTGCATACTGGCGCCTCTCTGCGAGCTATGCAAATGTCTTTTGCTGAATAATTCCATGGCCCTATACAGCAGGCTCTTGGGGACTTTCAATATGAGCATTATGGAGCCGGTGATGCTAACAATCAACCACTCAAGAGTCGCTTTCTTCCTCTTGTAATGGAACATTTAGCTGAGGTTGACAGAGAATGCTAAGTGTGATCATTTTGGACCACTTGCTTTAACCCTTTAATGTTTTCCTCAAGCATTTGATGGATCACTTTTGGAGTCACTATCTACTTGAAGCTTGGAACCGAAATCTACCTCCATTGGGGCATCTCTATCACTTGGTTTTAGGCACTTTTACCGTCAAGCTCCATCTCAACGTTATTTTGTTATTTGTGCTTGATTTTGACATAATTACAAAATAAAAACGAAACAAAATAACGTTTGAAACTGATTCAAACATGTAACTGCGGCCTTTATCATCACAAAAAACTAATTCTCATCAAATTTTATTAAATAGAAAAGCAAAAAAAGTGCAAAGACCTTTTTCTAATCTTTTTTTATTTCACATTATTATGACCAAGTTGGTGATATGGGATCATTTCCCACTGGTTGAAAAGCGCTGCTATAGAGAGAGTAGAATAGATATAGAATAAGTACATATTTGTGCAACAACAAAACACATCCCCAGTGACACGGAAACCAGCTGCATTGTGGTCTCACTCTTATCTCTCTGCTCTTCTTTAACCAGCCTCCTCTCCCCTCACCCGCTGCCTTTATACCCTGGCTTTCTAATCCACAAAGGAATGCCCTGAACTCCCAAACCGTCCTACTTTCCCATTTCTTTGGTCCTCCTGGTACAAAAGAAAAACGTCATGGTCAAATATAATGCCACCATCAGCCTCTTTTGTTTATCAACGTGGCTTTAAACCTCTGTTCAATGGATCGATGCTTGTTATGTGGTTTTTTGTTTTTGCGTCCTGGACATTTTGCCCCGGGAAAAGCCCCGTTCTGGTCCGCACGGGGTCACGCACACAAGACCGGTGTGGGAGCAGTGAGGCATGTCCTGTCTCTGATCTGACCCGAACACAAAGGTCCTGACAATCCGCGCTCCTCACTCTGCTCTTTCTCGCTCTCTTGTGCTCGGAAAGATTTTGACTTTGCTTTAGTGACACCGTAAATATGTGCTGCAAAAGTGCCTCTTTTTACACCCAAATCTTCAAAATCAAATCTTGATATAAATGTATTTTAGTTATTTCCAATATTCTGTTTAGTGATCGTTAGATTTGGCTACGTTTGAGATTTTGTACTCCGAAATTTAGTAGTCCGAAATTTTACTTAATTCATTAGGCTAAAGTTGGAGAATTTAGACGAGCTTCTCTATTATGCTAAAGCTATAGATTTTATTTTATTTTAGTAAAGTTATTGTTCATTTATCTTGTGCTGTGTGCTCATTCCTACAGTAGCTGGTGATGCAATACTGAAAATTCCCCACTGTGGGACGTACAAAGGGTCTCTTAAAGACCTTATGCCGGGTTTTTTTTTTAAAAAATTGTGGATATCAAAATTGCATGACGATGTCAATCTGAAAGAGATTCCGGCAAAAAAAATCCTATATTTTATAAAAAGAACGTGTTTTCATGAATTTAAGTTGTCTATGCTCTAACCTGTGTGTGACGTCATAGCGGGTAACGCCCATGCATTGAAAACCATGGATCTATGCCACAGGACTGCCTTTTCTCTCTTCTCTCCACTGATGGCCAACACAATACTGCCCTCTGCAGGTGACAATTGCTCACTACACATAAATTGCCGTTTTGAGAGTGAAAAAGTGTCTGAGATGGGATTTGAACCCCAGTATCTTGATTGGCAGTGCATCAACACAACCACTGGACTATCTCAGTGACAACGAAGAATTACAATCTAGTAGATATGTCACACTCGCTGTACACGGCCTCAAAAATATCCGCAAAAAAAGAACGAATACCAAATTTTAAACAACTTACAGCGTTGAAACGTACCCACTCTGACGTCACCAAGGGCTGTGAAGTTTTTTCGTCTCTAAGGGCGTTGCTATGGGGTTATTTCAATTTTGGGGAATCAGACAAAAAAAACAACTGATATTGAAACCTTTAGTAGTTCTCTTCTAATATAAAATGGTATTAAAACTGTATTTCTAAATAAATCAAACCCGTCATAAGGTCTTTAATTTTAATATAGACTTTTGTCGACTTAGAGCGACCACAGTCTGTTTACACAGTGTGAAAAAGAGACCCAAGTTAATGATTCTGAGTCTATTTTGTATTTGTGTGTTTTTTATTTGTGGAAAAAATATATATAAAATTGATAGTAAAAAATATAGGCGTCAAATAAATTCTACTTTAAAAATGGGTGATGTGAGTTCTGTAGATGCAGAAGTAGCAGTATGATTGTTGGTATAGTGCTGTGGTTGTTCCATCAAGAACAGAAAAAACGATTTTAGAAGTGTATCTTACAGACCACAGAGCGACACCTTTTTTTTTCTCGTCTGAAGATTGGAAAGAAAACGTTATTTCCTGCCCAAGAGTAAAACAGAAAGTGTCGATAATGTTGTCATGGCAGACACGTCTCCATCACTTCAAAGATCTTTCCATCGGTGCAGAAGAAGAACGGCATGTGAATGAGAAGTTGACATCAGCTTGTTGGACCGCAGTGAGCCCACGCCCCTCCGCTGCTGCTGCTGCTTTTTAATTCACAACATCATGAGCCTATTGCATTGTGGGAAAACGCTTTATCACTGCATCCCTGAGCAGATCTGCAGGTTTTTTATAGCCGTGCTACAGGATCCAGAGGCACTGTGAATGGCCTCTTTGGCTTTGTGTCGCTCAGTTTCCTTGAATAATATGTAAAGTGGAACCACGGAAACCACACTCGGCAAACTCCAAGCTAATTTAGTCGTCCTTTACATGTCTGAAATTACAGCGTAATCATGGACAGCGTTCGCCTTACTCTGTTATTTGTGGAAATTGATTTTGATTGCAAGGCGCCATTCAGAAGTTGGCAAGAGACGGATTTCATGTGAGAAGGATTGTGCTGGAACGTTTCCCGATACATGGCACGCTGCTAATTCAAAATCATTAAACAATTTAGCTGTTAACCTTTAGCTTCAGGGCATTGGACCCAGTCAATTTGATGAAACTGTTGTTATACTGTATATTTATCATATGTGACACATGTGGGTATACTTCTAGTGAAAAGGTGGAGTTTTCAGGTCAACATTATCAAACTAAGTAGATGTTCATACCAACCCGACTGGGACTGGGAAGAGATAATGTGTTCCAAAAAGCAGGAATGTGTCTCATGTTTTGCCAAAGAGGGAAGAGTTTTGTGTGGCGTACGTCACATAACATCATCACAAAAAAGTGCTGCACTACCTGATCCCACAGTTATTGCACCTGGTTTCTTGTAACACATAAAGTGTGTGAGGGGGAGGATCACTAAGAATTATTAGAATGATTTTAGTGCATGTGGAAGCCTGATTAATGGATCAGAAGCTAATCAGGGTTAGTGCTGTGATGGGAACACCAGGTGCCACAGTGGAGCTTTAAAGTGCTCAGTTGGCCTTAGAGCCTGAAGGTCGTGGGTATAAGCCCACCTCAAGACCTTCTCTGCCAACTCCCACTGATGTCTGCTGCCGTTGTGTCCTTGGGCAAGACACTTAACCCCACTTGGCGCGGAAGTAATTGTATGCTGCATATCTTGATGTGTATATGTGTATTCATCAAACTGAAATTTCACCACTGTGGGAAGAAAATAAGGGACTAGGGGTCTCAAACCGGTTCCAGAAAGGGCCATGTGGCTGCAGGTTTTACTTCCAACAGTTCCAAACTGAGCAGGAGCACAGATAACTCCACCATTTAACTTTTGGAAGTAAAACCTGCAGCTACATGGCCCTTTCTGGAACCGGTTTGAGGCCCCTGATCTAAACTGTCACCCACATTGCCTTTTAGATAGATAGTTATACTTTATCGATCCCCGTAGGAGAACTTCAGGTGTCCAGTAGCAGCAGAAACGCCATCCATCCATACCAAAAATATATATATTTTTTTAACAATAGTATTTAAAGGCAACAGCACTTTAGGTCACAGCAGCAGAGGTGATTGATGAGTGTGTTTGTGTGTCCACAATATTTAAAACATAATCCAAATGCCTGAATCACTAAAGACAGCTTGCCAATGTTTAATCAGAAGAATGTTTAAAGGCAGTTTTATCATATATTTCATACAGCTCCTCCAGATGGTCGTGGCTATATTCTAACATCTATAAAAAGAACAATGATGCAAACAGTGTTGTGGTGCTAGCTTGTAGTGGAGCGGACATGATCCTGTTGCCAGGATACGGCTGGAGAAATACACAGCATGTAGGCGCTCTTACATAATCCATTTACAGAATCTATGTCTCTGCCTTTATCTTCTCATTAAACTTTCATGGATCATATTCGCTCTGAGCTCCAAACCCAGAACTGCTGTAGTTTTGCCCGTCACTGTGGTTCCAGCCGCCTCCTCAGAATCCTTGTAAACTCTGCATTGTCCAGAATCCAATAAATCCAGAAATCCCTCGACACAGAAGCTCAGCAAAACACGGAAGGTCAAGAGCGCTTTTTATTGGTGACTTTTTGCTCTTGGAGGCACATGATGCACTGCACGAGATTCAGCAGTAAAAGCAGCCGCACAAACGAAACCAAACAGATTATTTATCAGTGGCTTGTTGACGTATTAAATCTTTTGGGAGGTTTTTGAATACAAGAAAACATGTCTTTGCATCCTTTCCAAGTAGTTGCTTGATGAGTTGATAAACTATTGTTGTTTTTTTGTCTTTTTAGGTGAAAGATTTAACCAAATTTCTGGATCCTAGTGGTCTGGGAGTGATCAGCTTTGAGGACTTCCATCGTGGGATATCGGCGATTAGCAACGGAGGTTTGTTCTTATTGAAGTTGATTTCAATCCAACTATCCAACAAATAGTTACTTGCCTCGTACAAGTTTGCTGAGATGGCACTTCAGTCTTTCACAAACATTTTCAGATAAAAACAATGAACCACATATTATCATTTGATCGTTAGTGGTTATGTCAAACACTTTAACACAGAGGCCTCCAACCTTTTTGTCTGGACGAGCAGATTCTCCTTTTAGACAGCTGACATATTGCTGCGCTACAAGGGATTAAGTTGATTTTATCTTGATTTGAAAACACTTCAACCATCTTTAGTCTTATTTCAAGCACGGATACAGCAAATTTGGATCATTCCTTTTTGGTTATTTTATGTTGTGTAGTGTTACCCCCATAAAACATCCCTCATAGCCTTGATATTTCAGCGGGGTCTTCAGGCAGTGTCTTGCCAAAGGACTTATTACTCATAAAAGGATCCTTTGGGGAGCTACTTTGAAGAGGGTTGGGAGGTGAAGCCCCCGAGCTGCAGGTTAGACACCCCTTCTCTAATATACATATTATTATATTTCCAACATGTATTTATACATTAACCTACTCCCCAGCAGCAGTCCATATTTAACCATTTAAAATCTTCCAAAATTACAGAGTCGCCCCATGTCTGATGTCATCCATTAGTGTTTTTTATGGGCCAGTCGGCTGTTGGTCTAATTCTAGAGTAGAGGCTATTTTAGCAGCAGTTTCAGCTTTTACTCCCCAACATCTGGCTCTCAGCGTCTCCACCTGGCACCGCACATTATTACCACATTGTCGAGTACAAAAGTAGATGACCCACTTGTTCTAAAAGTATTCAAATTGAGACATTACACAAACTACAGCCCGGTGAAATGATGAAGCTTCTTCCACTGGTGCGAAGTCTATGAACGCTGAGGTTTCTGTTGATATTGGTGACAACAAAACACAAATGTGCGTGCCGTAAGTTTACCTGGGTCCAGACGCCGTTGGAGCCGGAGGTGACGTCACTTCAGAACCACAGTGTTTGCCCAGAGCCTCTCCCTTATTGATTCTTAGCCCTGTTTCCCAAAGCTTTCTGGGTTGCACATCTCAGGTTACTGCAGCTCTGAATTATTCACACGTTGGAAACCCTGGCCGAGCACATGGGCAAACTGCCGTGGTCTCACACATGGGAGGGGGCTGCGTCCTATCTACTTTAATTATTGAAAGCTTTCCTGGGCCCCACTCACATGGTTCTGTTTTTAGCTGCTTATTTGGAAAATATCAGATTTTTTTTATTTCCATTGCAAGTAACAGGAAGTCACAAACTAGGAAATAACTTTGGCTATATTAGTTGTAGATGTTTATATTCTTCGGTCAATATGTACACCAGATCTCAGGTCACACGTTTTCAGAGATCACATATACGTTTTACAACAAGAACAAAACAAAACCAAAACGTGTCCATTAAGGGTTTAGGCTGAAGTTGAAAGTTTTACTGCCTAACCCCTTTTACAACGTGACAATACGTCCAAAGATGACAAATTATACAGTTTCTCATATACCCACGATGGTAAGCACAAAACTTAAACTTCGACAAATCAAAATTATGTTATACATGATCAAAATATCATATACAGTATAACATAACAATATATAAATACATCTACTCCTATTTAGATATGTAAAATACAATAAATAATAATACAAATACGTTTGTGAAGATGAGACTTAACAAGAAACATGTTGCTTCAAATTGCATTAACCAAACTGGTTTTTCCAGGTTCTGAATTCCACTTGAAAATGGACAGTCGTATAATTTGATAACCATTGATCAGGCTCTGGAAATGTCCACTTCATTTCAGATACGAGGAAGAATGTGATTATCTGATAAATACTTACTTACTTTAAATGTTGAATGTGTTTGTAACTGAGAGTGGACCGTAGGCTCCGGTCAGCGTGTGTAAGACCCCAGGGCAGATGAAACCTCAGGCCCAGACCAGCCTCTAGACTCCTGTGTTTACGTCTCACACTGTCACTGATACAGGAGCCGCAAAGGCTTGTGGGACTCTCATTACAAAGGTTTTATTTCAGGCTTTATACCTGTGTGTAACTGCTGCATGTAGGGTTTTCAAATGGATTTGAATATAGGATCGGCCTTTAGACACATAAATGACTGGTTACAGGATGTTATGCCCTCATAAAGCTGAAGACTGCTGAGTGGAAATGTCAAAGAGTCAAGCTAGGGAAGAAAACACAGGACACACACAACACTCAGCGAGGGTTGACGAAAGTATCGGGAATCAGAGAGTAATCCATACTACAAAGATTATTGAAACTACAGTAGATACTTAGTGGAGACCGTGTCAATACTTGCCCAAGGACACAACAACAGCAGTCATCAGTGGGAGCAGGTCCCATGGTGGGAATCGAACTCACGACCTCCAGGCCCAAAGGCCAATGCTCAACCAACTGAGCTACTGTCGCCCCTACTGTCACTGATTTTGATCTTGTGTTATAAAATTATGCAACCTTTTGGGAGCACTCAAAAGTTCCCTATTGTCTCATTGATGTTGATAATGACATCTTATTACATGTATTATCAAGAGATTTTCTATTAGTTTATTAGTTTCTATTAGTCATGACAACACCTCTGTCAAGGTTTTTATTCATGCAGTCAGTTCAAATATCTAAATAGGGCCAAAAAAGACTTCCTTTATTGGATTTCTTCCTTCAACTCTATCTTAAAGCTGGAATACCTAACTTTGATTGCTTCATAAATACATGTGGTTTCCAGCAGGAGGAGTCTTGTTTAAGTAACAGTTTGTGAACGAATCACACCACAACATTCTGCTTTCATTTCATTTCAAAACCTGTTGTCTCTTACATACTGACTCCTGATTGGTTGATCCAGTGACGGCTGCTGCAATACTGCTGTACTATAGTCTATTAAATTCAATTCAAGGTATTTTTTGCATCGCCCTAAATCACAACTGTAGTTATCTCGAAGGACTTTACAAAATGGTTGAATTCGCAAACACAGATCAGAGAATCAAAATCACAAGAAATGCAATGATGAAAACACATAGAGACCATTGTCCATAAATGTTGATTATAGTTTTATACTTTTTAATTAGTGATTATAGTTAAACTTTTGTTGTTTCAAAGTTGAGTACTTGAGCTTCAATCCTGGCTCTTTCTCCTTCATGCGTGACACATAACAGAGCCTACACTTTGTCGTCTGTGCATTCACAAATAAACCCGGTGCTCTTCCTCCGCACAGGCCCGGAACCGCAGCTGTACGGCGTGAACTACAGCCCAGGAGACGGAGCAGTGGGCTGTCCAGAGGAGTACGACGAGGTGAGCCCTGCCCTGAGCCCTCTCGCTGTAATCCACCGACCTATCATTACTGCAGTATAATGTCTGGACACTGGCAGCTGGCAATCTGCTCTTCAGCGTGTTCTTTGGCAAATATGAAATTACATGGATCGCAGCAGAGGATTGTGTGCGGATTTATGTTTTTGCACTCGCGGTCCACATTGCTAAGATTCCTTTCCGACTCCTGAGCGCAGAACTTTGTATTTTTAACCTCATTGTTGCTTGTTGAACTATGTGTCTGCCCTGTGCATCAGAGTGTGTTTTGGCTCTCGGGGCTTTGGCTGTCACTGCCCCCACTTGGTCAGGTTAAGAAGTGCTCCACAAGTTTAGTTATTCTACAGTCCGGCTCTGCATAATACTCAGGTCACGTGGTGAAAACGAAATGTGAGTTTCTGCTGTTTATCCGTCTGCAAAGTTCTGCAGTAGCTTAAACATGAAACAGCACAAGGGTCAAAGGGCCAACATTTAGATGAGATTATAATGAAAATGATTAATCTGTTTAATACAGCGCTTTTTTGGACACTCACTGATGCTTCACACGTCATATTTTCATTCACTCACCTCTACAGTGCTGTGATACTACTGTAGCCACAGCAGCCCTGAGGCACAGAGAAGCGAGGCAAACCAGTATTGACACACACACACACACACACACACACACACACACACACACACACACACACACACACACACACACACACACACACACACACACACACACACACACACACACATACCCGTTTTTGCTACATCGTGGGGTCCAATGAAAGGGACCTGCCTTCTGGGATCCACCCTTTCTAAATGAGCTAGAGACATGGTTTCAACTTCTAAAATCATGTTTTTTTTTTGCCAACACACTTCTCACTTTAGTTTTTCGATACACACGGATTAAGTCTGGGTTTTGTGGGGTCCGCCCTTTCTGAAGGTGCTGGAGACATGGTTTTAAATCCTAAAATCATTATATTTTTTTTTCAACAAAGTTGTCAAACACAACTAACAACACTCTCAGTATTACTAGGGATTTTGGTCATGTTGACAAAACACAACTTTGTGGGACCCAATGCCCCCCCCCACCACTGGGCCCCATAAGGTCACCTTATTTCTGGGCTATAGCCTTTTTTTGATTAACTAATCTTTTTTTAAACTAGATTTTGCTGAAGATAAAGGTCACCAACATTACACCAACAACAACCCTCTTGCTGTCCATTAAAACATGTTACAATGTGTTTTACATCATTTTGTAAGAGTTGAATCTCAGAAACACCTTACAGACTCTTGCTTCTCTCGTATAATCATGTGAGTATGTTTACCCTTCACCATATCTGGCATGTACGAACGCCACAGTATGAGAATCACTCCAAAGAGGACAGTCATGGAAGCATACATTACAATCTTCGCAACCTCAACTCTGCTCCAGGCGGGGCCGGTCATCCTCATCTGCTCTAAGTGAAGGCTGAAAGTTTACGTGTCATGATTTCATGTTGTTGGTGATGATTTTGTGTCATTCCTGGTATAATGAAGGGCCTGAGTGGAATGGTGACAGCCACATGGTTTTACCAGAGCCTCTGATCTGTTCTGATGGTCATGAGAAACGTGCATGTTATTTTCATCAAAGTTCCACATAACCTCAACTGACTCAACAGTCCTGGACCTGAGACCGGACCTTACGCCTTAACAGTGAGTGTGAAATAAAAGCAGGTGGGAGGAGATGGTGTGGAGCTGCACCGTGCGCCCCTGGTCTGTGTTAGTGCTGCTGCTGTTCTCTGTGTTGAACTCATATTGACACAGAATTAGGAAACGATATAAAAGAGACGGGATCTGTAACACATGATGTTGTGGGGCAGGACCTGAGGAAGCGCTTCATAATGACACAAAAATGCAGTCTTCATATTTTGTCAAGGGCTTTTTTTTAATTAATTCAACAAAAAACGTTCCGGGCTGTAGCCCTTGGATAACGACTTTAATAACTTTAACGTGAATAACTATTTTTGTTGGCACTCTTTGTCTCTAACTGTCTGTAAATATCTCTGTCTCCAACTGTCTCTAACAGTCTCAGTCGCTAACTGTCTCTGTCTCTAACTTTCTCCAACTTTCTCCTACTGTCTGTAACGGTCTCTGTCTCCAACTGTCTCCAACTGTGTCTCTAACTTTCTCCAACTTTCTCCAACTGTCTCCAACTGTCTCCAACTGTCTCCAACTGTCTCCAACTGTCTCCAACTGTCTCCAACTGTCTCCAACTGTCTCCAACTGTCTCCAACTGTCTCCAACTGTCTCCAACTGTCTCCTACTGTCTCCTACTGTCTCCTACTGTCTCTTACTGTCTCTTACTGTCTCTAACTGTCTCTTACTGTCTCTTACTGTCTCTTACTGTCTCTTACTGTCTCTTACTGTCTCTTACTGTCTCTTACTGTCTCTTACTGTCTCTTACTGTCTCTTACTGTCTCTTACTGTCTCTTACTGTCTCTTACTGTCTCTTACTGTCTCTTACTGTCTCTTACTGTCTCTTACTGTCTCTTACTGTCTCTTACTGTCTCTTACTGTCTCTTACTGTCTCTTACTGTCTCTTACTGTCTCTTACTGTCTCTTACTGTCTCTTACTGTCTCTTACTGTCTCTTACTGTCTCTTACTGTCTCTTACTGTCTCTATGTCTCTTACTGTCTCTTACTGTCTCTTACTGTCTCTTACTGTCTTACTGTCTCTTACTGTCTCTTACTGTCTCTTACTGTCTCTTACTGTCTCTACTGTCTCTTACTGTCTCTTACTGTCTCTTACTGTCTCTTACTGTCTCTTACTGTCTCTTACTGTCTCCTACTGTCTCTTACTGTCTCCTACTGTCTCCTACTGTCTCCTACTGTCTCCTACTGTCTCCTACTGTCTCCTACTGTCTCCTACTGTCTCCTACTGTCTCCTACTGTCTCCTACTGTCTCCTACTGTCTCCTACTGTCTCCTACTGTCTCCTACTGTCTCCTACTGTCTCCAACTGTCTCCAACTGTCTCTAACTGTCTCTGTCTCTAACTGTCTCTAACTGTCTCTGTCTTTAACTTTCTCCAACTTTCTCAAACTGCCTCTAAATGTCTCAAACTGTCTCAAACTGCCTCTAAATGTCTCGGTCTCTAAATGTCTCTAAATGTCTCTAAATGTCTCTGACTCTAAATGTCTCTGACTCTAACTGTCTCTGACTCTAACTGTCTCTGACTCTAACTGTCTCTGTCTCCAACTGTCTCTAAATGTCTGTCTCCAACTGTCTCTGACTTTATTAAATGATTTTGAACGCAGTGTAACTTTCTCTGTCAAACTCTTTTAGCACATTTCTTGTGCATTGCAGAAATTCTATTTTTAACATAGAATTTTATTCCTGACCATGTCCGATCTTTAAGTTGCTCAGGTGAAGCTTCAAGGCAGGCAGTGCAGGGCGACTTCCCAGGAACTTTCCCATTTTGAATGAAAGTCATCAGGGTCCTTTCCACTGCCTTAACCTCCTCTTCAGACCATGGCTTCCATATGTTTTCTATAAAAAAAAAACATTAAATCAGAAATAAACAGGTTATTTCATTGCCCAGAACAAGCTAAAGGGGGTTCACTCAGGATTATCAAGCCTATACAGTCATGTTTGAAATTATAAAGGTTTTATCTAGTAAAGTAAAACATTTTTGACCAAAGCACCAACTGCAGTGTCATCTACATGAATGAGGCATGTAGATCATGCCTCATGCATGTAGATGAGGCATATTAAATGCATGAGGCAAATCATAACAAAATAAAGTAAATATGAAAGACGTCTACACTTAAAATCCGAACTTAGAGGCCAACCCTCAAATAATGTCAGATCTACAGGACACATCACTTTCTTAGATCATGTGTTTGGATACAATGGGCCTCATGTATGAAACTTGTGTACGGCCAAATCAGGGTAAATGAGGCGTACGCAAAAATATTTACACTTTTCCGCATTTATCAATCTGGACGTGAGCGTACGATACGCACAGAATATACACCAGGTCTGGAGGTGGTGTAAATGTGTACGCTCATTTCAACCTTCATTAAAACACGCCAAAACACGCATGAAGTACAAGATTTGGAGAAAAATCTACATATTCCCTCTGACAAGATTATAGGCACACCTCTCACATTACAAATATGCAATTTGACGATGTTATGTTAGGGCTAGTTTGTGTTATTAAATAACTTCCAAGATGTCAAACTTAGTCTCTCACAAATGTGTGGATTGTTATATCACCTACAATCAGTGCGTAATGGCTTTGGTTCATGCGGGTCCAAGCAAAGACGCCCCCGTGGTGGCTGCGTGGGTCTGATCAGGCTCTGGGACATGTAGGGGGTACGCTCTGGTACCTCCTGGTACAAGTGTGCCACATGGTCCTGGCTCGGTTCTCCACAACAGGCACAGGACCACAGTGTGCCACTGGTGGAGCAGCCCTGGATGAGAGACCATGGCCAGCACCGCCTTCGGCCTATACAGCTCAGACAGGCTTCATTCAGCCATTTTAAAATAATAATCACATACATAATCATTTTTTTTCTTTATATTTTCTTTTGGATGCTTTGGTCTGGCGGTCCTCCCCCTTCGCTGCTGAGCACTTCTTCTATGAGCTGCTAAACGCCATTGTTACCATTTTAAGGTCGCTCCCTTTTTTTTTCACTTGTGGCAAAAATTAATGAATTCTTACTATTGGCCCAATATATCAGCTGTTTGATATAATATAGCGTATTTTTCTTCGAACATGAATAAACTCATCTCTTCAGGAGTGCATGTTGCAGGCCCCACGCTGTTTACAGATGCTGTCAATTCTTTCCATATTGTTTTTTGAGCCCCTTGATGCCACTTTTGAGAATTCCAAATAGTAAGACTTTATTCTTTTTCCCACTTCGTTCATAATGGTCTCAATCTCCTGCTCCGTGAAGTTTTTTTTCCTTAGCCGTTTACTCACTAACCAGACCCTGCGCCGTATACGTAATCACACATGTTTGGCCTCATTCACCTCTGGCAAAACAATGTGGGTTTTCCTTAGTTTTGTGCATAAAGCCCCATAAACGCAATTGATCTTGCTCAAAACTGCTCATCCACTGCCCGGTTCTCCGCAGCAGAGATAGGATACAACGCACATGTGGGAACTGGTTCATTCATTCATTCATTCATTTATTTATTATTTATTTATTTACTTCTAAATTTCAGGAGAGATGAGTGCTGCAGTGGGTCTAGACACTAGGAAACGCGTATATATAATAGAGCGTACATATATATATTTTTTTTTAAAAACTTGAATAATCTCAGAAGTGCGTGCTTTTTGCGGCTTCTTAGCCGACTTCCTGCTGACCTGTTGCAAAAACAGGGCGTGGAACAGGCAGTTTCTGAATATTTCTAGGCGTGACTTTCATAAATACGCTGGTTTTGAGCGCGCTGGTTTTGAGCGCGGCATTTATCAACAGCCGCAGGTGCGTACGCTCAGATCTGTGCGTATCTCACACGTTCATAAACGCCACGTCGGATCTTACGTAAATGTAATATACCCCAAAATATACACCCTTTTCTACGCAACTTTCATACATGAGGCCCATTGACACTCTGAAAGACCAATGAAAAAAAAAATATTCCTTATGGATGATTTTGTTATTAGCAACAGTTGACTTACTTGATGGATTGGCAGTCTTTGTTGAAATGCCTAAATCAAACAAACATATTTGATTAAAAGTCCATCTAATCCTGATTTAGCAGTAAATGCACATTTACCCATTGGGTCTTCATTGTCAGGGCCCACAGTCTGCTCCAGGGAGTTAGGGTTCCTAATCCTGCTTCCAGAAGAGTCTGAAACAGATTATGGTCAACATGAGCATAAATGTCTCTGTCTCCGGCTGTCTCCTACTGTCTCCTACTGTCTCCTACTGTCTCTGGCTGTCTCTGGCTGTCTCTGGCTGTCTCTGGCTGTCTCTGGCTGTCTCTGGCTGTCTCTGGCTGTCTCTGGCTGTCTCTGGCTGTCTCTGGCTGTCTCTGGCTGTCTCTGGCTGTCTCTGGCTGTCTCTGGCTGTCTCTGGCTGTCTCTGGCTGTCTCTGGCTGTCTCTGCTGTCTCCTGCTGTCTCCTGCTGTCTCCTGCTGTCTCCTGCTGTCTCCTGCTGTCTCCGACTGTCTAACTGTCTAACTGTCTAACTGTCTCTGTCTGTCTCTAAATGGCTCTAACTGTCTCTGATTGAACCGAACGTGGACTGAACCAGCACTAAACCAGGAGTGATATATGATTTTTTTTCTTTTTAAATAAAAATCAAAAATATACTTTCTGTTATTATCCTATTTATAAATGTTTAATAATATAATTGAATCACAATAATAAATGAAAACAACATAATAACATAAGGGACTTTGAGCATTTGCTAATACATCTATAGCTCACCTTGTGATGTTGTAGGCAGCTCTTCTGTTTCGGAGACGTCGCTCCCTTCTTCATCCACTAGTTCTTCTAGACCACAGAAACAAGTTAGTTTTTATCAAAAATGAATCAACATGTTAATAAGAATTACCATTTGGATTGACTTGGATTTCATCAAGGCTCTTTCCCTTGAATTCTGAAAGTTTTCCCTGCCCAAAGCAAGTAAAACTTTACTGATTTTTGCCAATTCTAATGTTCCCTCAGGCAATCTATAGTATTCCCTGTGAACACGGATATCGTGTCCTAAGAAATTGGCAAGTATGTCCATCTCATTGTTCTTCATGTTCAGAATCGTAGACATTGTCGCTATGTGTTTTCTAAGTTTTGTAGAGGACAATGTTTCTGGATGTTTAGCGCCGCACTCTTTAGCGATCTGTCTTATGGCATCTGATCCTCTGAGGTGTGAATCTGCGTCTGGCCGTGAGAAAAAGTATTGGTTCTTGTCCGAGATTGAAGAGGACTGTCGTTGCTCCACCAGCATCTCCATGGAAGAAATCATTTCCGGAGTTAGTAGTATTGCCACTTTTCGATTTCTTTTCCCCCTGACTTCTATGCGCTGGAAATGCTGACATAGTTTTTTGCTCAATTTCAGACAGTCCAAGGGCTAAATCTGTATTAGTCGCAGTTTGGTTTCTTGAAGTAAAAGCTGCCAGTGGCATCTTTGAGACCTCACCTTCTCTACGTCGATTAAAAATGATGACCTCACAAAGTGTCAAAACTGCTAGTTTTGCCCAGTTTCTCTTGTTCGGATCATCTCGTAGCTTCTGCTGGTATTCATCTCGACGTGCATCAATGTGCGCATGCATAGCTCTAACATCCTCTGTGAATGGGAGGAGCTGAGGCTTATTCCACTTTGCCTCTCGTAAGGTTTGTAAGGCACGATTGGAGACGTAGACATCCCACTTCTCATAAAGCATTCGACTTCGCTGGAGGTTTTTAATAAAATGTTCATTCACAGTAGTTTCCATTTTTGCATCACATTCAAGTATATCAGCGATCTTCCTGAGACTGTGACGAAGTTTTAAAGCCAATGATGGGATCAGGTACAAGTTTGTTTCTTCATTGAAGCCAGCCACGTTCCTGACGGCTTCAATTACATTGTTAAAGTTTGAGGGTACAAAAAAGTCTTCTATTTTTACCAGTTTCCCTGCTTTTCGTGATTCCTTGATTAACCTACCTACTTCTCGCATTTTCTGCCTGATATACTCATGTTTAGTTTTCTCATGGCCATTCTTTAAATATAAATGCTCACCGAGTCTCAAAATGCTTTTTTCTTGTTTTATTATTGCGGTGACCTCATCTTGGTGCATGCAATTTACAAGAGTCCAAACTTTGCTGCTAACCCCATCCGGTACAGGCTGTGCAAAAGCACATAGTGACTGGACTCGACTTTTACCTGGCTTTGTTTCTGCAGGTTTTTGTGACAGCCTGCAGCGGGTCATATGCCTCCATAATGCCTTACGTTTCAACAGCGCAGCACAGTTTATACAATGTAAATATTCTTTTGCTTTCACAGGAGCAGCTGTCAGTTTACTTGGTACAAGAGTTCCACAGCCAGCTTTCATGACTTCAAAATTGTGCGCTCTGTCTCCATTGTTTCTTATTAGGTCCAATCGAAGTTTTCTCTCTTTTGATTTTACTGGTAAAGACAATGCTTTTGCTACATCACTTTCATTTGGGTGTTTTCGTTGCAAATGCAAGTACAGGCAGAAATGTCTCTTGCTATACATTCTTTCTCCATTTTCCTTCTTCTGAAGCTCCATTATTGCAATCTTTTCTAATGGTTCATCCATTTCTGACTCTTGAGGAGGAGTATTGGGGAATTTTCTTTTTTTATCCTTTTTTAGTTGTAATTGCTTGTTGGTTGGTTGATTGAATAGAGAATCGTCTGAGTCTTCTTCCCGTAAGGAGTTTTTAGATGGGCTGTATTTCGAGCCACTGCTCATGGTTAGGATAGATTCTCCTTCAGAATCTGGGACCATGTCAGGATCTAGGTTGATGCCAGAATCTGGGACCATTTCAGGTTCTACGACCATGTCAGGATCGGCAAAGTATGTATCCAAATACTCTTGAGTAAGCTGCAAAAAAACAAAAAAAAATGTATCAGAAGAGTAATTTCCTCTATGATGGATCAATACAAATTATATTTTTACTTTTTTAAGTGTTTGTCTGGAGTTTGTCAGAAAGAGAGAGACAGAGGTACTTGATTTGAAAAAACGACGCAAAAAACGACTCAAGCTCCTTCATTTCTGATTGGTCTACGCCTACGTTTCCATAACACATTAAATGTTAATCAGAGAACTCATTATACATATTGTTATTATATTATTATTATGTTATTATATTATACATATTATTAATACACATGCACGGAGGTTTTCAGAATTATCTGTTAACGTTTTAATGAAAAAAATAATGTTTTTATGCACAAAAAAAAGCGATCGCGGCAAACCCAGAAGTGCTATTATCATATTATAGAAACATCTGCAGAGGATCTGATTATGGTTCATATACAAATGATTATGGATATAGGTTCATATATAAATGATTATGGATATAGGTTAGATAGAAGGGAAGGCGGGACTTACCTGTAATAACAGAATTAATAAAATGACTTATTTTATATCAATATTTAAGGCCCGGAGGTCAATTTAACACATTTCCTAAAATTTGTAATTCATTTAGAGTTACAGACTATCACTTTAATGCCATCTAGTTTTGCTTATTGGCTCCCAGTTGCATAGTACCCATTGGTGTATGGTGGCATTTAGATGATGCCATGAAAACATAAGGTGTGTGATAGCACAAGTGCCTTTGCTCGATCAAAACCATATTGGTATCAAACGTGCATAAATCAATGTTTAAAAAATTATTACAAATTAAATAATGTAAACTTACAAACACACTCTGAGTTCTGTCCAAAGGCGGAGTGATGTTATGTCCTGAGTTTGTCTGCATCTATGGAAGAACATCGTTAAGGCATAAAATACAAAAACATATTTATAACTTACAGTATATTGACTGAAAGTCGCACAAATGCCTCTTGGCCGGGAAAAAATACACAATGCTCGTATATTGTGTTGACTAGTGGCTCAACATGTGTCTTGGTGCAGTATTACGGTTCCACGCGTGAGTCCCGCAGGTCGCTGCTGTACGTGTGACATGGATGTCTGCAGCAAAGTAACTATTGTAGCTAAGTGGAGAGTCATTGTGGCTGTTTTTCAGAATTATACATTTATAGAGAAAGTTGTAGTGGCCAAATTAAAATTCTACTATTGTCATTGAAAGTTTAGAGGTTTTTATTGTCTGTTTTTTATTTTATATTGTGTTTTTTGTCTGTCTGAGTTGATCTGAATCTGCAAATACATTTATTTTATGACTTGGACCGTACGCACGCTCTGATTGGCTGATTACCGGTCTGATATTTCCCCATCTCAGACCGTTACCATGACAATCGGTCGCTTGCTCGGTCTGTACAGACCTTTGCCTTTTTGCAAAGACCTCGCGCTCGGTTAATAAGCCGTTAGTATCTATCTATCATCTTCTAACACAGTGCCCTCTCTCTCTCTCTTAAAATGGATAACTAGCAGACTAGCAGCACTGGCATAACTAGCAGTAACTTCAGCAAAGCACAATACAGTGACTGAAGTTGCGAGTTAGCCGAGCACACAACCACAACAAAAGAAAACTATAGAAACAATAAATGCACCTCAGGAACAAGTTTGAATGGGCTTTGAAGGAATCACATTAATGTATCAAGCGAGAGGCTGAACACATGGAAGGACTTGATCATTTTTTAAGTAAAACACTGGAAATGACTTCACTGCTTGTAAGCCGCACTAAAAGGAAATGTGTGAACATGATCAGAGTACATAAAATTAGTATTAACTTACCACAACACTGCCTTTTGTCGGTGAAACACCTGAGCAACTTGGAAAGGCATCATACTCTTCTGACACCTGTGCAAGAACAAAAGAGGTTTAGTTTTCCAAAAGAAAAATACTTAGAACAAGTGAATAGTTACCTGCAACTTCTCAGTTGCTTCCACAGCTGCTTTAGTCCTTTGTCTACTCGACACTTTCAAAGCTTTACTGCCTTTAGCTTTCTTTTTCTAAATGTAGATTAAAATAAGTACCAAAGATCTGAATGGGTAACAAGTGAGGCTGTAATGTAACATTATTTTGCAGGATTGACCATAAAAATTAAAATTAAAATAAGACTATATTATAGAATAATTATGCTTTCTAGAGCACAAATGTGCAAGCTACTCCAAATTCTAAGAAAATTCTTCAAATCTTTCAGAATCTTTGATAATACGGGCCCAGGTTTACAATAAAACATAATGCGTGTGTTAGTGTTTGTTTTATTGTCTTTAAATGTTTGGTACTCCACCTTAAATGTTTGACAGACCAAATTACATTGCAAAAGAATCAGTGTTCATTCGTTCATTCCATTTTTTGTTTATAAACAAGCAATAAAGCACACTGAAAACAACACAATTCGTGCATGGTTTGTTCTTTTGTTTTCTGATTTTCACACAAAGTTAGTAAAGTGTAAAAACAGAAATCAAGAAAACAGAACTTCATGTTCATTTTACCATTTTAATATTGAAAACATTTTTAGTTTGTGGTATTTTCTTACTTCTTGCGGCTGGCATCAGCAGCCATCGCTTGCCAAATTATTTGTCACGCGGTGGGAAGGAGGAGGACTCAAAATGCGAGAATGCAAAAGAATAATGATTTAATAAAATAAAAGTCCAGGTGAAAACATAACTCAAAATCCAAAACACAGAACCAGGAACAGGACGGAACAGAAGTTGACAATACAATGGACCAGCAACAAGAGGAGAGGAGCACAGGGTAATTATAGACCGAGACACAGGTGAAACACATTAGGGCGGGGCAGACAATCAAGACAGGGGAAACAGGACGTCAAAGTCAAACTAAAACCAAAGCACAGAGAACAAATATCAAAATAAAGCTAAAGTCCAAAATAAAATCCACACCATGACAGTATTACTGTCGATAGGTTGTAATTTTAGGCACTCTTGGAAGTAAAACTATTAATATGGTACACAATGAGCTGCGCAGATCGCTGATGCAGCACCGCTGGGGCCAGAGACAAAATACAAAACAGGGAGAAGCAGAGAGGAGAGGCCCCGTATGAAAGCAGACCAGAGATGGACAGTGCCGCCTCGCTGACAGTGGAGTGCAGTGACCTCGGAGCTGAGAGCGAAGTCTGCCTAGTCTGATTTTTGGCGCAGATGTGTATGGAGGACCAAAAATGACTAAAGTATAAATAAATAAATAAATAAATAAATACAGGAGTATATTAATAAATACATTCATTTTGGACAATAAAAACTAAATATTTACATTGATATGCTAAATATTACTCTGAAATCAAATAAATATACTTTTATTTAGGTTATTTATCAAAATCTACATTTTTTCCTTTATTTATTTATCCATTTATTGCATATATTTATTTATGTATTTCTACATTTCTTCATTTATTTATTTATGTATTTGTGTGTCGCTGCATTTCTTCATTTATTTATTTATGTATTTCTACATTTCTTCATTTATTTATTTATGTATTTCTACATTTCTTCATTTATTTATTTATGTATTTCTGTGTCGCTACATTTCTTCATTTATTTATTTATGTATTTCTACATTTCTTCATTTATTTATTTATTTATTTCTGTGTCGCTACATTTCTTCATTTATTTATTTATGTATTTCTGTGTTCCTGTATGCTAATTAGGTGGGCGGTGCTGAACTCAATCTAGAACAGGATTGGTTAGGATTGCGTGAACTCTGGTCTCGATCATTTACTGCCTCACATTACGGTACTCTGTTAGCTAGCTAGAGATCCTCTGTGCACTTTTGTGTGGTATGATGGCAGTTTCGAATGTAAGTTTTTTAGGAGCCATTGCTCATCAATTAAGAGCATTAGCAAATGATGTTAATGATGTTGAGCATAATGCACCTGAGGACTATCTACTCTTTCGGCTGGAAAGACTATTAAATGTTTTAGTTCATCACAGTGCTGACCCAGAGGTAGACTTTGATGCAACTGTGCCGGACGCTCTTCAACAAGCAGCAGCTTCACATCCTCTCACAAACCGAGAAGGTTAAAGCCTAGCGTACATCGGACTGGCAACTGATTATATCCGTCGCATATGAGTTGCTGCCCCGCACACATCGACAATCTGACGAAAACGGGCAACTCCCAGTGGCAGACCAGTCTCGAGAATAACAGCGCGTACATCGACAGCAACTGGCCTCAACTACAGTGTGTTTTCTGACATAAACTGTTGCGGGCGCAATACACGCAATACACACACGTTGTCGGAGCGGCGCATGGAGCGCACACATTGGGTCATATCTCGAAAACTGAGGACAACTAGTTGCCGAAAAGTAGAACACGGGCAACTGACTGAAACTGGAGACCGACTGATCATCTCCAGTTGTAAGAGCGCGCACATCGACCGATTTTGGCAACTGATCATCTCCATCATCTCCTCTCAGTCGCCAAAAGCCGCCTTGCAACTTGTCTCCAGTTTCTCTGTCGATGTACGCTAGGCTTAACTTTCACTGCATGAAAAGTGTGATTTTCGTCTCTTTTCGGCCCTGTATATTACTGTGAAACTTCTGGGATTCGGCAGTTTGTTGTCCCCTCCTCCCTCCTCCACAGGAGGCTTTAACATGTAAATGGCAATGCTGTGAGCTATACAAATGCTAATCAGGGTTGAGGGGGAGCACACCGTAGACCCGGATTTTGTAAATGCTCAAACACACACACACACACACACACATATTTGATCATGATTGATTATAGCTTGTCATGTCAAAATCAATTAAATAAATCTAATAGGACAAAAGACATGTTGAAAGTGTAAGTGCTCATCTCATGTATGTACAGTACAGACCAAAAGTTTGGATTTTTTATTTTTATTCATGACATGAAAGATGTGTTCTATTCTCGGTTCAAATTATATATATATATATATATATATATATATATATATATATATATATATATATATATATATATATATATATATATATATATACTAGGGCTGTCAAACGATTCATTTTTTTTAGTTGATTAATCGCATAGTAATGGTGAGTTAACTCACGATTAATTGCATGTTTAACATTCTATTTCAAATCCACTCCAATTGAAGTTAAATGAGATTATAAAATATAATTACCAGTGTTGGGTAAGTTACTTTGAAAAAGGGCACGGTGACTGAGTGGATAGCACTCTCGCCTCTCAGCAAGAAGGTCCTGGGTTCGAATCCCGGTCGGACCAGGGCCTTTCTGAGTGGAGTTTGCATGTTCTCCCCGTGTCTGCGTAGGTTTCCTCCGGGTACTCCGGTTTCCCCTACCACTAAAAATATGTCCAATAGTTCTAGCATGCGCCTCCTGTACTGGCCCCGCTCCCATCTCTGTGTGGAGTGAGAGACAAATGCCCAAAAAATTAACAATTGTAAACCGCTTTGAGACTCAGATCTGCAGTGAAAAGGCGGTATATAAATAAATACTTACTTACTACTTACTTACTTACTAAAAGTAATTAGTTTTTGTGCCAAGGGTTAAAGCAGAGAATGGAATGACTAAAAGTAATTAGTTTGCACAGGAGAATAGAACCACAGACACATGTTCAGTATACAGACTTTAAGAACCACAGACACATGTTCAGAATACGACTTTAGAACCACAGACACACGTTCAGTATAAGACTTTAGAACCACAGACAACATGGTTCAGAACTTTACCACAGACACACGTTCAGAATAAGACTTTAGAACCACAGACACACGTTCAGTATAAGACTTTAGAACCACAGACACACGTTCAGTATAAGACTTTAGAACCACAGACACATGTTCAGTATAAGACTTTAGAACCACAGACACACGTTCAGTATAAGACTTTAGAACCACAGACACACGTTCAGAATAAGACTTTAGAACCACAGACACACGTTCAGTATAAGACTTTAGAACCACAGACACACGTTCAGTATAAGACTTTAGAACCACAGACACACGTTCAGAATAAGACTTTAGAACCACAGACACACGTTCAGTATAAGACTTTAGAACCACAGACACACGTTCAGTATAAGAGGGGTGTTTGTGTCTTTAGAACCACAGACACACGTTCAGTATAAGACTTTAGAACCACAGGGACACATGTTCAGTATAAGACTTTAGAACTACAGACACACGTTCAGTATAAGACTTTAGAACCACAGACACACGTTCAGAATAAGACTTTAGAACCACAGACACACGTTCAGTATAAGAACTTTAGAACTACAGACACACGTTCAGTATAAGACTTTAGAACCACAGACACACGTTCAGTATAAGACTTTAGAACCACAGACACACGTTCAGTATAAGACTTTAGAACCACAGACACACGTTCAGAATAAGACTTTAGAACCACAGACACACGTTTAGTATAAGACTTTAGAACCACAGACACACGTTCAGAATAAGACTTTAGAACCACAGACACACGTTCAGTATAAGACTTTAGAACTACAGACACACGTTCAGTATAAGACCATATACAGTATATTTGCATTTGATTGAAGACACCACGCTGACGTTGTGACGCGGTGTCTGGATACATACGCTTCTGTATTGACGGTTGTGTCCCACAGAAGGTCATTAAAGAACATTTTAGTCAAAACCCTTGGATGAACGCAGAAGTGAAACTGAAACTTCATGAGCGTGCGTTGGCGTTTCAATCAAATGATACAGTTGCTCATAAGCTATCCTGTTACTCACTGAAACGTTCTATTAAATCTGCAAAGCGCAGTTACGGGGACAGGTTAAAGAGTTATTTTGAGGAAGATGACCCTCGGCGCATGTGGAATGGTATTAAAGCATCACATCGTGGAAACCTAGCGCTGGGAAAACTGCATCTGTCGGCCAAGCTCTGCCAAACGAGCTGAACACGTTCTACTGTTGCTTTGAATCCGCTGATGCCTGTCCTACTGTATTCCCTGAGTGTTTCAATCAAGGTACCTTCTCTTCTAATATAAAATGGTATTAAAACTGTATTTATAAATAAATCAAAGCCGTCATAAGGTCTTTAACTCGCGTGTCTGCTGTGTTTTCTGCCATACTCATGCAGAACTGCAAATATAACAAATAGCCACAAAATCATAAAAACAAATACATACAAAACGAAATTATGTCATATATAGGCCTTTTTTTGTTGGTACAAATTAGATTCTATCAGTAGTGTTGGTGTTAATACACACTCATTGTAATTCCCCAAATCTCCGCTGGCTTACTCCAGTTAGCAGCTAACATGTACAAAATAGCTCGAAATTAACAATCTGGTGGAAACAATTGGCCTAAACTGTCCCCTTAGCAACTAAACAATGTTCTCTATCCCTGCATAATACTTTTACTGTCCCACTTTACCTGCAAAACAATAAACATTGCGTTAACTCGCGTGTCTGCTGTGTTTTCTGCCATACTCGTGCAGAACTGCGACTCTGGGCACAGACACAAGGTACAGGTGGAGTGGCGCCGCCTTGTGGTCAGGAGCAGGAACTACACTAAAGCGATCTAATACATTTTTACCATATTTATGACTTTTAACTGAAAATAATTATATGAAATGAAAGA